AGAAAGAAAAGGAGGAGCAGGCTCAGAAGGAGAAGCAAAAGAAAGAAGAGGAGGAGCGAAAGAAGCAGAAGGCAAAGAAGGATGACGAGAGTGAGAGTGAAAGCGAGCAAAGCAAAGAGGACCCTACAAGCTCTTCAGATGAGGAAAGTGGATCTGAGGCAAGCGACAATGAAGATGAGAGTGAGAATGGGAGCAAGAATGAGAAGGGTTCCAGCGACAGTGAAGAGGAGAATGAGAGCGAGGGTGAGGCAGAGGAGAGCAAAGAAGGGAAGAGTGACTCACCAAAGAGCATTCTAAAGAATGGCAAGGATAAAGAATCCGAGAAGTCAGATGAGGAAGATGGCAGCCAGGCATCATCTGATGATGAGGAAGATGAAGGCAGCGAAGAAGGTGAAGATGAGGACAGCGAGGAAGAACAGGGTGAAGATGAAGATGAGGAGGAGGAGGAGGAACCAGTGAAAAAGGGGAAGGGCAAGAAGGACATGAAGAGGGGAAGATCCAGCAAAGAGAAGAGCAAAGGCAAGAAGGGCAAGAAAGAGAAAAAGGATAAGAAAGAGAAGGAGGCAGAGGAGGAGGAGGCTGAAGGAAAGAAGAGAAAAGCAGCCAATGAGAAGCAGAATGAGGCAAAGAAACCAAAGTGCCAAAAGTTCGGAAGGTGGCTCAAAAACAAAAAGCGCTGTCCAGCCAAGATCATCGCAGCTTGCAAGACGGAGGCTGGGCACCTGGGCCACCTTCTTTCCCTATTTATCTGAAACATATATCTACATATATATATATATACATATATATTTTTTTTTATTTGGGCTATGAGGTCAAAGGTTCCTTCACATTCCCATCCTTTGGTTCAAATCAGTATCTCCCACTATCATGCACTGCAGGAGACCCGGAACTCCTTGTTCAACCACTTCGTCGACTCCGACGGTGTGTTTGCTGAGGTGGAGGCCAAATTCGAGTTGTCTCTTCAGGAGGCCCAAAGGTCAAAGGTGAAGTATGGCTTCAAAGGCCAGCAGTGGCTAGAGACTACACATGGTCCCAAGAAAGCTGCTAAGATCATGGAGCGTAAGGCACGTTTGGGGTTGAACCTCGTCCTGACATGTCGACCAACTTCTCGCCCAGCCTTCATGTATCTTGTAGACGATCTTAAGGGCTCGCACTCCAAGCGCCTGGAACGTAAGGACCATGGATGACCCGGAGCTTCCCGGAGAGAACGAGAAGCTATACTTTGTTCTCATCGATCTTGACATCACGGACACCAAGGAGTTGCGCCGGGTGGTGCAATTGGAGATGAGTGGGTCCCTGGACCAAGATGGCCTAAAGGCCTTTGTTGAAGCACCTTAGCAACAAAGTTAGTGTTTCAGAACTAAACTGGTCGCACTAGTCAGGCAGACCTAATCAGTTTCCAAAACTAGACTGGTCGCACCTACAATCAGATCTAATCACCTTTTGCTTAGGCTGGTGGATGCTTGGATGGCAAGCAGCATCTTGGTCTTGGGCAAATGGTAGGAGCTGAGGGCATGCAGAAGCTGCTGGATTCGACCGGGTTGTCGAACAAAAGGAAACTTGAAAAGGACAGACCAAAGAAGGAGAAGAAGGTAGGATATCACATCCCATTTTGTGTGTAGTGTGTATCTTGTTGTGTCTTCTCATCCATTAAGCCTTTGCCTCAGGTGGTTCCCGAGAGCCCCCTGGAGAAAGCACAGTCCTTGATTCATAAGATCCTGAAGGATGCAAATGAATGCAGGCTCCTAGGCTGAATAAACCTTCACCCGCTTCACCTGTGTTTGTAAACTCAGTATGGATCTTCTTTTACGCGGTGTGTTTCCCAGGGACTTGGCATTCAAACTACGACCCCATTCCATGGGCAAAGAGCTCACGGACCAATTGCAAGCCTGCGCCGTCAAGTTGAACCAGATGGCAGAATCCTTGCAGTCGAAAGTCCGTGAGAAGCGGAACAAGAACAAGCATTACAGGGATCTCTTGGCCCAGGCAATTCTTTACAAACAGCATTTGGTTTCAGGTATTGCTAACTGAGTCTTCAAACAATCTGGTATACTTTTGGTATACTTTCGACGCTTTTGATGGCCCCCCAACACTCTTGTTGATCAGGTGGATGAGGTTCGCAAGCTTGCGTCTGAGCGAGTCAATTTGGCAAAGGCTTTGATTCGTGCAGTGGATAAAAAACCACGAGCAAAGGCTAAGCCTGATCAGAAGCCCGATGAGAAGGGTTCGGGGGCAGAAGAACCCCTGCCCCTCACTGATGGGAAAGCGTAAGCCTTAGATGGGCCCTTTCATTTTGTTCATGCCGGTCACCAAAAGCTTGGACTAGGGCACCAAAAGCCACTTCAGGCTATGACCGTGTGGGGGGACCAGTGGGCCAGAGGTCTATATGAAAATGACTGACCTATACTGCTGCATGCACCTGTTTGTTCGCTTTCGAACATTCATGGTCCCCTGGTCCAGTTTAGTTGCAAAGCAACTTCAATCCATCCAGAGCTTGGGAAGAGCGAGAGCCTTTAGAAAATCAGGTCTATACGTTAGAGAGAAAGCCTTTTAGAAAATCAGCCCTTTACAATGCCTTTAGAAAGCCTATCAGCCTATCTTTTTGAGATTCCCCACATGAAAGAGTAAGCGCCCAGTGAAGCCCAGTCCATACCACCCTCGCAGGAAACGCGATCGCTCCAGACCAAACGCCAGAAGCGCCTCAGCAGCGCAAATTTCAAGTGAAGTTCCAAACATGAGGGTCCGGGTAGTCATGAGGGTATGGTAGTCATGTTTTATGTTTCTTCTATGTCACTTCTATGCTCATCCCTGACCTGATGCTCGATTCTAAGTGATTTCCACGCAGCGTCGGAATCAGCGAAGCAGATTTTGAAGAAGGTGTGCTCCGGAGTTCCGAGGCTGCATCACAACATTCAAAGGGGGTACAAGATCACCATACACGAAATGAGCATCATGGAAGTGTCCTCTTGTCACCCAACAGAAGTCCAACAGAAGTCCAACAATTCTTTGTTTGCGTGAGGCTCTATCAGCTGCTGCTGCTCGTGATGACGCTGCTGATCTAATCAATGATGGATTCTACTGCCCCTTGGCAATGGAGATGTCCCAGTGGTCGAAAGGTCACGAGGAGCGGTCTTTTGCCAGGCCGGTGGGGAGCTGAAATCAAAAAATGTTTGGTTGAGTGATGGTTCAAGTTTATTAATGGGTGACTGTTGAGCCCTGAACCCTCAAGGTGGTGCAAAAAGGTTTGTTCTGTTGCCCCAGACACAGTGGGGATCCCACTGATGATAACTCGTGCGGATGGGGAAGAGGAGGAGATCCTACAGTCAACAACAATACTTTGGCCTTGGGAGTTTTTTGCTCATTTGCACGAAGCTGGGAAACTTCTTCAGTGGATAGCCGACGACCCTGCCACAGCATCTTCACGAACGACAGAGTATTGGGGACATGCATCTGAGTTAGAGTTTTTCGAAAAGCTTGAGCTGGGACGTGAAGAGTTTGGCCACTTTACATACATTGTGATGGGGTAAGGGTATACCGCCATCAAAAGATGTTTATTTACAGCATGTCTTCCGCGTGCAGGAAGGGGCCTTCCATGAGAACCAAGTGGGTATTTATTGTTGTAAGGGAGTCAGAAATCGTCAAACACAAGACTCACGCCTCCATTGCTGCGCTTGTATCGTACATGGTTGAAACTTTGAGAAGTGGTAAATATCCAGAATTGGATTCGCAGGGGTGCAGCTGGCCAGTGGGGTCTGCCAGTGCTTCTCGCGCTGGGAAACCCTTTGAGTTCAATTGGATTATGACCTTTGCAGCTTTCAAGGGTGATTGGGAGGCGAGGCAACAGGTCCACCGCCTCAACAGATATTATGTAACAAAGTACATCTGTGAGCACTGCTGCGCATCGTACGAAGAGCACAACACATTTGGTGATTTCCGCATGAGCGCCAACTGCTTGTCACTACGGTTCACACACGAACAATACTTGTTGATGTCTACACCCAGCCCATGGATTTGTGTCAGGGGTTGGGCCAAGGACCGTAATTTAGAAGAGCCTCATCCAGTCAACAAGTTTTCTGTGGAGTGGGGGTTATGTTTTGGCACCTGTGTGACCTTCTTTGTAGTGGGGGTTTTGTTTTGACACCTGTGTGACCTTCTTTGTAGTGGGGGTTTTGTATTTGTTCATGAACTTAGCGTGCGCCTGTGTGACCTCAGGACTTGCTCCACGTACTTCATCAGGGCGTCGCCTGCGTTGTGATCCCTGCGCTGATTTGCAGCTTGAGAGCAAGCGTCCTAGTTTGACTTTGTCTGAGTTGGATACATTGCTCCGGAGAGAAGTATACTTACACTACAAGGGTTGGTGTCGCACACACGGAAGAAAGTTTACAGCTACATCGTTCAGATTCAATGGGAAGAGGTTTTCCAAGCAGGGTTGGGCTGAGTTTCCGGAGTTGTCAAGCCACTACAAGGCGGCAGTAGTGAAAACCATGATGTTCTGGGCTAGTGACTACATGAAAGACCAGGACCAGGAAGGCAATGTTCCCAACTCAAGACTACGCTGGCTTTGCATGCACTCCTTCGCCAAGTTCCAACATTTGCTAGATCAAGGGGGGCCTTTTTTTGGAGAGCAGGAGATGGCTCTTGTAACGCGCTATGGGCATGCAGCCTTATTGTTTTACCAGGAACTGGCAGGGCATGATCGCGCTCGAACGGATGGACGTCGTTTTCTGAAGATCACCCCGAAGTTCCACTCGTTCCTCGAGATGTTACTGTACGTCAGAAAAACAAGACGCAATCCAAGGTTTGGAGATTGAAAGAACTCGCCCAAATTGTGTTTAAAGTGTTTTAAGATATTGGCAAAGGTGTTGTGTGTTCTCTTCAACCCTCTAGGTTCGAACACAATTACCAAGATGAAGATCTAATGCAGCACCTTGGCAAGATAGCATCTCAGACCCATACACAAACAATGGCGCAAGTGACATTGGGTCGCTACAGAGCATGGGTGGAACTGTTCCTGTAGACACCACTTCCGGTGCAGAACTGGAGCCCCGACCGGGCACATGGAGCGGGCCGCGCGGCCCATGAAAGAGAAAAAACACTGCATGCTTGCTTTGTAGTGTGATGCTATCATGGCTCACCAATGTTAGAGGGCCTCTTCAGTTTCTTTTGTGGGTATGTTTTATGTGGTTGAGCCATGGTCGCTAGGGCGGGTGGGCGGCAAGTCGGAATTCCAAGCAAAGCCACGGGAGGCCGAAGCCACAAAAGTGGATGAGAACCAACCCTAATAGACTATAGGGGTTGCTAAGATTCCAAGGTTTCCAAAATTCACAGCGACTGGATTGAACGCCTGCTGCTTTCAAAACCTTCGATTTCGATCGCGTTCGGAAGAGTTAACGGTGCATGCCACACAATCCCCAAACATGTCAAAACGACCACAAAGCTGGCAACAGATATTAGCCAGCTTTGAAAACTTTTTTAAACATATATATAAATAAAATATCAAACATATGTTAGGCTCCAGAACCTCAAGCCCATGTTGTGGTCAAAGTGGTCAAAGTACAGACCTATATTTTCCAGAAGCTGAGGGAGCTCGCCGGCTGGAAATGCACCAGTGATGACGTGTCTACTTATATATGCCAGCAGGCAGCGTTTGTCATGATAGTCTGTCAAAATTTCTGCGTATATGCGTGCAACCCACGCGCTAGCCATATCTCGCCCACGGCCTAAAGGCTTACCTTGTAAGCCTCCGTGTTGTCATGTTATGAAAGCCTCAACCTATAGCACTCCTGGCGGTCCAGGTCCGTTCAGCACGTTCACCATGCCTCGCTTGCCTCCGCGCCAACCTGATCCAGGCCCCGTACAGCATCCTGAGATGATGTGGCTACATTGGACTATCAACTTGCTCTCTTGGATCATTGACAGCATCCAACATCACCCGATCGTGACTCAGCCCATCCCTCCGATGGACCAATTCCCAACTGAAGCAGATTACCACCGCTTCCGGGACTTTCGCATCAATTTGATGCAACTCAGCCTCACTCGCGACGAGCTCCAATCCACTTTGCAAGAGGACGATCAACTCGCTGCTCTCACTCGCTCTTGGGAATACTCTTGGCATCATGCTCAATATCGCATACTGACTGGTCGCTCGCCCTCCAATCCCCGACAGGCTTCACGACCTCCTGATGCTCAACGTGCACCTCGTGATGGACCACCCCCGGCCTCCGACACCATTCGCTTACAGCCCACCCCGCAGCATGGTCCTCATCCTCATCCTGCGCATCGAGATCGTTCTCGCACTCCACCCGTCCGCGCTGATGACACCTCTACATCCACGCCCTTGACTACATCTACTCAGACCACATCTCAGAGTGCCTCTCCCGCAGGACGTGCTGGTCTACATGCCTCCCTTTGGCGAGCCACCCGTGACCGTCGCGACCGGCTATAGCCAGTTTCACCGACTCTCCACCGTGAGACATGCTTGCGCCAGCGCCTCATTTCGGTTTTTCAAAACAGACTGCCGTGCCCAATGCCATCCTTCAAAATAGAATGATTGATTTTCTCCCCGACATCCATGCTCAAGCCCTAGTTCACCGATACCAATTTCCCCACTGCTGTCTCTTGCTTATGGCTACATCCTCGACACCACGTTCGGCAACTCCATCCTCCGCTTCCGGCACGTGCCCGGTTTTCGGTGACCTCCCGCCTGACCGTCCAGTTCACGACCACTCGACGGCATCCAATCGCGCACTTTCTCATCAACCTGGATCACCTTCTCTTTCACCTCCGGATGATGTACACGATCCATTTGCGGCCTCTCTTCACGCATGGCAGGCCATCCCTCAAGACGCTCGCCGAGCCTTTTGCTACTTCCTGAACTACCCGACACCTCCGGCCAGCCCACGTCGATCATCCCGGTCTCCGCGTCGACATGTTCCCCAGACCCTCCAGACGATCCATTTATTGGATGTCTTACGTGACGCTCCAAAAAATAGATGTCAACGATCCAATTTTTGAGCTGCGCGTGTCAGCACAATTTGCACCTTAAGGTGCAGTTTTGCTTTTGATTCTTTCATGTTCGGTGTCAGAGCAGATCAAAGCTAGCAGAAGACGGCTTGTGTGCTTCGTAGCCAAAGGAAAGCCTCAGTAAATGGTAGGACCAGCGTTGGCGATCCTTGACCATCACCTCTCTGGACCCCAATGCGTCTAGATCTCTAGACTCTCTGGTGCTCCAAACATGTTTTCTGCAAAAGAAGGATAGCAAAGTTACTTGAGTTGACTGATTCAGATCAGCGAGCGCAAAGCCATATGATGCTTTTGCACATTTCCGCTATGGGTAAGCATGGCGTGTGCAATCTGATTTCTATCTTGTTTCCGTAACTCGGAAGTTGTCTCCGTAACTCGTAACTCGGAAGTTTCTGGTTAGAATTTCCGGGGTAGTGGGAAACAAGGTCTTGCATTTGGCGTGTGTGTGTGTGTATGAGCTGTGCACACGGGAGAACCGCTGAAGTCTAATTCTGAAGAATTGTAACCGTTTTTTTGGGGACGTGATTGGGGCAATATTCTTGTGGGGCTCCACACAAAGCGCCTCCAGACTTGTAAAGAGACCCTCAAGCCACTTTTAAGACAAAAAACCTTTGAACACTTATTCTTGAACGATTTGATTTGAGCGGCTGTCCCCAGCACCACGGTCTAGGGAAATTGCTGTGTCTGGCATCCGCGGGTTTCACATCTTTCAATCACGTTCCATCGATCGGTCGCCTGCTTGTCAAGCAGTGTGTGAGACGATCGGTCGCCTGCTTGTCAAGCAGTGTGTGAGACGATCCCAGTCTAGAAACGTCCACGCAAGTCTTATAAGACTCCAACTCTAAGTTGCAATGTGTTTTTTCTCCAAATCTGAGTTCAATCAATTTAAGATTCACTTGGCTGGATCTTGCCTACCGCTTGCCGGCCCAGATCATGGATCACGGCCTCAGCGTTCGCCAAGACATGTTGTTTATTGTGGTAAAACACGCATGCAGCTTTCTCAACAGGGGTCACGTTCTGTTGGGATAGGTGGACCAACCCATGAAGAGACCAGCCATGGATGCTCAGCGAGAGGGGCCCAAGCGGCAAAAGAGCAGTGACGATCTGCAGGGTCTAGCTCTGGCGCTGAAAGAGTGGGTGTGGCCTGGCTCATCTATAGTGCGTGATGCACCTTCTCCCTAAACGCAATTCGTGTTCTCCCTCAACGCACCCTGATGCATGGTAAATAGAATGAATGGTTCACTCTGTGTGGGCTGATCGCCTTCCTAGGACCCAGCGCAATTTCCTTAATTACACCACCGAGCGGAAGATAAAAAGCAAGGAGTTGGACAAGTTGAAGGTCTACCTGCCCCACCTCAAGAAAGCGCAAGGTGTTCAGAGAACATGGAATTTTAGCCATGCAGTCATCTGTGGTGCCCTGTTGAAAATCAATGAGGAGCTGGGTTTGAGAGATTTAAAACGAGTGTTTTTGATCTGATGTGGACTTTCTGAATGGTCCGCTCGAAACTACTGGTTTGATCGCCCTGACCGGATCTGCGAGGAGAAACGATTGGTCTCTGAGGAAGAAGCGGAAGCTTGGTTCCTGAGCTGAAGTTAGGCACTTGTGTTGTTAATACTGGGATGGACACTCTAAAGCCTTGACTTCTTTTGAAAAAAGCGCCATGCATTCCAAGCCTATCCCTATTCAAAAACACGTGAGGTCTTCCTTCACGATATGTGCCCCAAATCAAGTGGCTTGATGCTATAGATCCTTTTGAGGTCGGCTGGTCGTGCTCTCCAGCTTCAAGCTGTTTTCCGGCACACATCGCAGGAAGCCCTCAACTGCCGGCGGTGGTTGCCGCAGGAGATGGCCTGGTAAAACGCTTGTTGGGGCCCTTCTTCCCCTTTTGTTTTCTTTTTTTGAGGGTGTGGGGTGAACATTTGAGAGTCATCCAAGACCACCAAGACCCCTGTGAAAGGCCATGTGGACTGGGGATCCCGACAGACGGAAGCGGTCTTCGAGGAACGATGAAGAAGATCCTGAACAGAACGCGAACACAGGGCGGACTAGCTCTAGCACCGGTGTGAGGGAGCCCGCTGAGGAACAACCAGCGGCCGATGCAGAGGAGGGTTCGAAGGAGGGCCGGGGAGAAGAGGAGGAACCGCGGGAGGAGGATGAAGAGGTTGAGCCGGAAAAGGAAGAGGGAGAAGAGGAGGAACAGGAGCAACCAGAAGAGGGCAAGGGTGCGGAGGAGGAAGAACAGGATGAAGGAGAGAAGAAAAGGCAAGAAATAAGAGAGAGGAGACGCCAAAGGCGCAAGGAGCAGAAGGCATTGCTTGAGAAGTTCAGCAAAAAGCCAAAGAAATCAAAAGACGAGAAAAAAGACAAGACCAAGAAAGAGAAAAAGAACAAAACGACCAAAGATAAGAAAGAGAAGAAAGACAAAAAAAAACAAAGACAAGAAAGAGAAGAAAGACAAACCGGAATCGCCTGCAGAGCACCAGCCAGCAATTAGAAGGAGCAACGCCAGCGCTCGAATAGAGCCGCCTCCCGCTGACCCTCAAGGTAAGAACGCTTCCAATTTGGAGGCTTTAGTCGATCGTGATGCGCCGCCAGCCCAGCCAAAGCCTAAGCCTGCAGCAAAACCGAAGTTGCTAGCAGTCAAGCGGTCCAAGTCTTCAGAGGATCTAGGAACAAAGCCCAAGCCACGCACAGCAGCAAAAACACAACCAAAAGCGCCAGCAAAGACGCCAGCGCCTGCGCCAGCAAAAGCAACGGCAGCATCTAGCCGCAGCTCACACCCGCACGAGTTTGACTTGTTGGATGCACCTTTCCTGTGCTGGTGATCGAGTTTTGTTTTCCTATAGCCTTGAAATCTTTTTGGGTTTGGCTTTGGTTTCTGGAGGGATGGATCTGTGATTGGAGGTTTTGAGGGGGTGTATGCGTTCACCCAGTTGTCCTTGCAGCTGACAGTACCAACGCCAGAGGGTATACAATAAATACATGTATTATATTTGTAAGGCAAACAAATTAAACATATAGAATTATATAATATATATATATTTATAAATAGTATTTTTGTTGTTTGGCATCTATCACTCACCAGGCTATGGTCATAGGGTTCGTCCAATTCCTCCTTTGGGGGAAGCTTTGAGGATATGCTGGGCCCACCCCCAGATTTTGGATCTGTGTTTGACATCTTCAGCTTCGATGCGCTCATCAGAAGTACCGCTGGAACTGGTGGCTTGGCTGAACGCACTCCAATTGTGATTCCCAACAAGGATGGATGCCTTTCCAGTTTTCTGTTTCAAAAGATTTAGCTGCGCTGACTGTTTACGTGAAAGAAAACTTGTTCTCTGTGGTCTCATCAGTCTCTGGCAAATTCTTCTATAGACCTTGAAAGACCGAACAAAGACTCTTCCGACGGTTGGTTCAAAATGAGCCCTTCATCCCAGGCCGCACTCCTGCTTCGAGTGCAAAGGCAGCTCCAAAGGAGGCGGCTCCAGCTCCACCTCCACCAAAGGCTCCGTCGACGGGCAATCCCAGCGAGACCAAGGCTCCAAGTGCTGAGGTGCCAAACTATGAATGTGGTTGGTCTGAGGAACATGGAAAGGCGTGGCGCCGATTGGTGGGCCCTAAGCCTTCCCAGAAAGGGCCAGTTGAATTTTCAGAGCCCCCCCAAAGTCGACCGCGGGGCTGACCGTGATGCCCCCATCGTTTGCCGTTTTGCGGATGGCTGGACCTACAAGGTCAATCACATCACCATGGCCCCTCTTCTTGTATTTGGGGGGCGGTGCGGTGAAGGCAGCGTAATTCAACCCTGGCTTCAACTCTACAGGGGTGTGACTTATGAACCTTTTTCTTAAAATATGGTGCCCCTAACCCACTTGTTTCAAGTTCGTTCTCTTTCAACCAGCTCTTGGCCAAGGAAGATTTGGCGGCCAAGCTTGGACTAGTTCCGGGGGCTGGCGATGACAAGAAAGACAAGGACCAGACAGGCGATTCTCTTGAACGTTTTGAGCTGGATGATATCTCAGCCCGCCCCGAGCTTGATTGGCTTGTCCGGGATGAGGCGGGTCAGTCAGAGAAAACTGGCGAATTCAAAATACAGTTGAAACCACAAAAAGGTAGATCAGCCATTTGTGTTTTGATGCAAAAGGCTCCGGGTGAGAAAAAGTTAGCCCAGAAATTACAGATTGTGGTCAAGCCACCTCTTTTGGCAGCTGATGGTATGGCTATTCTGAAGCACTTGGCGGCGGATTACCTCGCAGGGGTTCTGCCGCTAGATGCGTTGAAACCCAGGAAGGCTCATTTTCTAGCTGCATTTCAAGGGGGCCCGGAAAAAGTGTTGGAAATCTTTGAGAAAGAAAGAGATGTAAATGACCAGCCGAATAGTGACTTCATCAACCTGTACAAGATGCGGATCTCTCTGGCTGCGCAGCCGGCACCGGTGCCGTTTACGATTGATGCAGCAGCGGCACCATCTACAAGCTCAGGCCATTTGGTGGCGATGTGTGTGTTTGACTTTGGGGTGAAAAAGGAATAATCGTTCGCAATCGGCTTAAGTTGTTTTCAAACTGTAACTTGGTTGATGCGCCCCGAGAGCCAGCCATCCCAAACCCTCGATCGTGGCCCCAATCATGGCCTTCCATTGTTCCATCTGGCAAGGCCCAAAGGATCCGAATGAGCAGGATACCTTGCCGATGGACGACTAGCAGGTCTATATGCTGCAGTGAGTTTCACCTATGAGAGCAGTCACTGGTGCCCTATAGACACTTTGCTCTATACAAGACTTCCAAACAAAGAATGCAAACATATATATATATATAAACAATCAGCTTTGGGGCCAGTGCATTGGCGGGCTCTTCTTTTGGATTCATTTTTTCCCAGATTGGCAACCCTGGCAGGTAATTGAGCAATTCCACCCAATGCTTTTTGAGGTGTGAGTTCAAAGCCACTTTGCCAATTTATCCGTTTCCACGTGTCCCTGACTTCTGAGACATTCTCATAATGTAGAACTCTGCTGATGGCTATTGGTTTAAATGGCTTAGCTAGTCTTCAGCATGTACAAAAATGGCCCTGACACTGATCACCCATAGACTTATTGCACCAGCAAGGAACCCACGCCCAAGCCAAGGTTCCTCCCTTGAGGAACCCGCGACAATTCACCCGGTATACCACGAGGACTAGGATCAAACAGGTATCCGATACATCCCGCAACACCTTTAGAAAATGTGTGTCCTAGAAGGCCTTTTGACTTTGGTTGGTAGTTGAAATCTATAGGCCAAGATGGCTGAAGCGCTAACCACTTCATAAAAGCAAACGTAGAGCGCCTGAATCCACAAAGTGGATCCTGAAGAAAAACACACCCAGATTTCTTGGACAATGTTTTTATCCCGTAATGTGTGGCGTAGCTGGTGCTATACGTAGAGCCAGCAACAGGGGACACGCACAGCCCGGTCACTGCGCGGCTTGGGCTTAGACTTTCTTCCAACGTGAGTGGAGACAAGATCCTGAGCACGGCTCGAAAGCTGCCCCTTCAGGAAAGTGTTGGGGATGGCTGTTTGGCCATGGCTTGAAGAAAGGCCAACATCAAGTGCCTTGACAAACCTCCGAGCTTCAAAAGGTGCTCCTAGGGAGGGAAGGTGGAAACCAATGGTAATGTTTCGCATCCTACCAAAGAGGTCAAGAAGGACTCAAAATAGTTGGCCCTATTTATTCTCGTGGTCTCTTGACCTCTCTTGGTAGATGAAAGTCAGGGGTCGACCCACCAACAAAGCTCTACATAGAAGCTTTCTATGTTGCTCCTTTGGTGTCTTTATATAAAGGTTTACCGTGTGGAGCTACATACGTGGGCATGCGTTTCTTGGGTCAGCTGCTTCCAAAAACAGAAACGCGTGGAAACACTAGCAGCGATATTCTCCCAGACCATCGATCGCATGATTGCTGGAACCTCTTTGCCAAGAGCGACTGAGAGGCCACAAAAGGGCGCGCGTAAGGATCCTTACGCGCGCCCTTTGTGGCCTCTCAAGTGGTGTTGGTATATACCTTTAAGGAATATAGATTCCAAGAGGTCTCCTTTGTTTCACAAAAGGAGGCGTTGCTTGTCTGTCCTTTCATTTCAACTGGCTTCATGAAGAGAAACGATCTACATGTATCTCTCCTTCTTCCCTCAACTTCAACTATACAGTCTCATCTGAGGCACTCAGCGGCCCCAAAACGCTCCCGAAATGGACCCCCATTCTGGGCGCTCTGATTCAGTATGGTGTGGGATTTGGGGGGGGGCGCGTGGATCGGGGGATGGGGGCGTGGATCGGGGGATGGGGTCTCACCTACTACCAAAGACTAAAGTTGGATACCTTTCAAGTTTTCTAGCAAACATGGAGGTGATGAGGGGTCGATGAGGGGGTCACCGATGAGCGTCCGATGAGCCTACCTAGGAAATGGTTCCCTGTAGTTTAAAAATGAAACGGATTCTGCGATGAGCCTATCTCTTTTTTGCACAGGGTGAACGCATAGGAGCGATGAGGGGTCATCCGATGAGCCCTCGATGAGCCTTAGTAGGTAAAGGCCCCATCTAAGCTAAATACGAAAGGGATTCTGCGATGAGCCCCCCTCTCATCAAAAAAAACACCGCGGTGAGCCCCCGATGAGCCCTCCCCTGTGTCCGAGGGTTGATCATCTTTGATTGAAAGACTGCGTTTCATGTGGCTTTTTGACCGTGGTGGGAGGGTTCAAGCTCTTTTTTGGGAACGATTGAACCATGGCGGAACCTATGGCTGAGCCCAGCGCCGGTGCGGCCGGTCTGGAAGCACCAGCACCTGCTGAAGCTGAGCTTCGCCAGGAGGTCTGACTGTCTCATTGTTGGGATTTTTTTTTTGAAGGCCCATTTCATTTTATGTGCTCGAAAAATGCCTGTACGCCAGTTGCAGGACCCATCCAGTATGAGCAAGCCTGCTGATTCCAAGCCTACAGTGCAGCGGGCTATCCAGCAATATGCCAGTGTTATGGGGGTTGATCCAAACACGGTCACCGAGCAAATGTTGGAGGAAAGTGAGGAGGGGATTGAACACTGGGCATGCCTTGGCATAGATTCCAAGGCTCGGGGTCCTATGGGCAATGCCATGTACAGATCCATCAAGAAACATCCAGAGGCAGCAGAAGCTTACCGATGGCTGTTTGATGATCTGAAAAAAATTCAGGCAAAGTTGGGCTATGACCAGGAACTTTGAGTTCATCAATCGGAAACGCGTCCGCACCATTTCCCAAAAGACCAAGCAGGAGGAGATCGGCGCCTGGAAGAACAAGCTCCAGCTCCAAGTCCACTTTGGGGGAGTCGGCATTCCTGAGGCAGAGCGCCAAGCAGATTGCTACATCATGAACTGCCAGAAGTTCCCGGACTGGATCTGGCCAAAATTCATGGTTCAAACCCTTAACAAAAAGAAATGTTTCAAAGTCCAAATTGCTATCTATCTTCTCTGTGCAATGTTTTTTTTGCAGGACGTGTTTGTGATGTTCAACACGTGGACTGAAGCAGAGAACTATTTGCTTGTGGAGAAGTTGGTGTCCAAGTCTGAAGAAGAGGCTTGGAAGGAGATAGCCGAGATGGTCGATGGCAGCGGGACCTACGCCACAGAAGCCTACAAGTGCAAAGCCATTAGAAAGTATGCTGCGTACTATGGCATCAACCCTGAGGGTGTGGACGTAGAGGACTTGGCAAAGTCTCCACATGGTCTCAAAGGGTGGGCAGAGATGTCAATCACTGTCCCAGGTGTTGGCGATCCGCCGTCAACCTTGCCCTCCATGCCTGCAGGTGAACCCGGTGAAGCTGGAGAGACATCACCTGCGCCAAAGGCGGCGCCGAAGAGGGCGCCCAAGGTGAAAGCTGCCCCAAAGCGTCGTGCGGAGACAGGTGGGTCTAATACTCCAAAGCCGAAAACCACAAAGCCCAAGAAGGAGCTGACGGCAGATCAAGAGGTTGAGGCCAAAGCGAAAGTCATTTTGACCCAGCTACAGTTCTCTCAACAGATTGTGAACAAAGCGGCCGGCTCCGGAGACGAAATCCCCAGTGAGTTCAAATGGGCAAAACCATTTTTGGAAGACTACCAGACTCTCTTGATCAGGTTCAAGACTTGCCTTACTCCAGCTGATTCTGAAGACCTCTCAAATTTTGTTGATGAGCTCAAGCTCCAGGTCATTTCCAAATCTGGGATCAAAGGCCTCAAGAAGACCTATGGGGATCGGTACCACCACATGATGGGATTGTTCGTGGACAGGTGTTCTGCCTGCGCTGCTGAGAAGCTTGGCTGTGCTTGCAAGCTTTCCATTCAAGTAATCATATAAGGGCTCTCTAGACCAAAAAATGTTGTACATGTGTAGTCAAAATGTTTGAGCTAAGGATGAATGGGGTGGCGACAAAGGTTCACAAGATGATCCAAGCCCTGAATCCAGACCAGCCTGCCAAGCGAGCTCGCCGGTCATGATAGATTCCTTTGCCGCTTGGGACAGGTTGTGTTATCACAATCTTTGTGCGCTTGATTGGTCTATGTATCAAGCACCAATAGGGTTTTGGCACTGGCGCAGGGGGAACTGCGCACCGTGCTGAGGAACCTTTTGAACAAAGCAGACCTTAACGTGTGGAAAAGGATTGCACCCGTCTTTAATTCCCATCTGAGCGTGGACACATGTTCATTCCAGCGCCCGCTATTTTAGGATCAATTATGTTGAAGAGGGCCCGAGCACAAGCGCGGGTAGAGCGTAGTTCCAAAACCAATGAAGATCTTTCTCAAAAAGAAGGCGGTCAAGAACTGAGGAGGTATCTCCTCGAAAGGTTCTGTATGGAGGGCATGCCAGGCTCTGAAGTTGCAACCCTGTCTCGTCTCATTACGCGTGCTGGCGGCCTGGGGGTTGAAGACTTGGCTTTGGGACCAGCCTCGGCAACGAAGAACGGGCACAAACATGTACGGAAGAAAGCTGGTAAAATCTTCCCGGATGTTGATGTGCACTATGTGGATTGCCCTATTCACTTGAAACGCGAAGCTCGCCGTACTTCTGCCCAGATCCCAATCTACCTCCCCTCCAAAGCGTTCCAGAAGTTCATCACCGAGAAAATGATCAGGGACCACCCTCCAGCAGATTTTGCCCGAGTGATTGGGGAGATAGACCTTTACGTCAACCATCCAGTTGTTCTAGGTGCGCAAGCTGAAGGCTTGAAAACTCCAGTCCGACCAGTGGCTTTGTATTGGGATGGTGTCGTCTATACAAAAAATGATTCTTTCTTTGCCTTCTATGTCACGGACATTTTGACCACCCAGAAATGTTGCTCTTTCCTCCTCCGTCTGAGTCTCAGTTGCCCTGCCGTGATGTTTCATCAGCTTGCCTCAAATGAGTACCCCAACAAAACAAATTCCCTGCTCCCAAGGTAGTGAGGAGATGTGCCAATGTGGATGCCGTGGGTGGTGTAGCTTGTACCCCTTGCTTCTGGAATGGGTGTCTGATCTAAAGAGATTGGAATCAGGACCTGTTCGGTGCGCAGTCGTTGATATACAAGGTGATTGGCCAGCGTTTTTGCAAGTCTTTGGACTGCGCTACTGGAGCCACAACTTGCACCCTTGTCCACTTTGCAGAATAGACCAAAAGCAACTGAAGGAATTACACCTTGATTCTTGGACATTGGACTCCATGCCCTTTGACTCCTACGGAACCAATGATTACAAAAATGATGTTCGAAACTTTGTTCAAGCGTCTTTGCTGTATACAGGAACCTTTTTAAAAATATGGTGGTCCAGTGCAAATGGGTTCCAAAAGGTTTCTACATTGCAGCGCCTATAATTCCAAACTAAGGTTGTGGAAGTGACATCAACGGAGTTGAGAACACAAGTTTTCCGGAAACTTGCCTACAAAAAGAAACTACGGGGTCGAGCCCTGCTTTCTGATCTTCCAAACTTGGGCTTGCGCAAGAATAGTCGACTGATGCCCACGCCATGGATGCCTGACGTGGCCCAATTTGAGTTCACACAAGTCCCGTTCACGAGTCATTGGTGGGTGGGTCCTGCAGACGCACGCCTAGTACACGACTGCCCTCTGCTAGACCTTACCGGAGTTGGGTTGGAAACGTTCTCACTCGACATAATGCATTCCTGGCACCTTGGACCCGTTCAATTGCTTGTCAGCCTCACCCTCAATTTTTGCATAGATTCAGGGCTCTGGGCTCCTTCAACAATCGGGCAGGATGCTCAAGACCGACGTAGGGTGAGTCTTCAAGGCATCAAAGCAGAACTGTATCAGTTCTATCGCGATCAACGACAAGACGCCGACTGGCGAGGGAAGGGCTCTGAAGTGGCCCACCTGTATCATGTTTTTGTTTGCCGCCCTTCAAAAATAACTGTTCTTTCTAGCTTGAACTTGTCTAGTTTTTTAAAACACATGTTGGTTGGCCCCGAAGTGGATCTAAGGTGTGGAACCTAACATTGGGTATGATTGGCACTGAAGAAAGCCCATCTCTTCATGCGAAGGCGGCGGAATCACATGGACTACTTCTCTTCATACGCCATCTCCTCTCTAAGCACCTGGAAGCCTTCCAACATTTGCCACAAGCGACATCCAGAAAAGCCAAATTCCTCCTAGAGTCTTCAAAAGCTGCAGTGGGGCTGGATGAAGTTTTTGCCACAGAATCACGGACACTTTCGCGAGAACAAACACAAACAGCAATGGGCCACTACGCTCGTTTCCTGTCATTCTACAACAAGGCCGGTGGGCCTACCACTCCCAAGTGCCACTTCATGTTTCACTTACTTCAGCGGTCCATCTTTAAGGGGAACCCACGGAAGTATTCGACATACAAAGATGAGTCGGTAAATGGCCAACTTGCAAAAATTGCAAGATCTTGTCACAGGCGAACATGGCACAATGCTATTCATTGGAAAGCCCAATGCTTGCACGAAGAGAACTTTAAACGGGTTCTGAAATCGCAACTCTTTGAAAACGACTGTGTTGCGGCTTCTGAGGTTTAGCTACACTTAAAGGAGTGGAAGTGGAAGGGTGGCAAACACTTAGTGGGAGTACTTAGAATAGCCTCCATCCGTTTCGCGCAATCGCAGCTTGGGTCGAGCCTCACGCCTGACCGCACCATTTCCATGCCGCTGGCCAGGGAGGTTTCCCGCCGTGATGGCTGGTACGATGCATCGCAACATCTAGATGATATCCATAGTGAAATTCTTGCGTTTGATCAGGATGAAAAGAATGAACGATCGTTGGAGTCATTGGACTTGTTCGCTGGCTCTGCAAACTTTTTCAAAGAGTCGGAAGCTCAAGGGAAAAGCTCAATGGCCATTGATGTGTTGCACGATGAAGTCAACCACGATGTCTTGACCAAGAAGGGTTTCTGCTTTGTGCTCCATGCCATTTTGTCCATGGTGACTCGCCTATATGTGACCAATGTTTTTTTGGAGGAGGGTTCACTCTTTAGTTGTTCTGATTGGCAACGCTGCCTGCATCTTGGGATGTGTCAGGTGGAGTATGGATGGATTATGTGCGGAAGCCCATGCGGATTGTTCGTCTTCATGTCATCGTCCTACCACATGCGCTCCGTGGATTTCCCCTACGGCGACCAGGACAAACCAAAGATCAGGGCTTCCAACCAGCTGGTCATCAACCTGGTGATTCTTTTGGCTATTGCCCACTCGAGAAGGGTATTTTTCTTGTACCCCAACCTGGGTTGAAACAGTTTTGACTAAGGGGTTTTCTTTTTGAGGTGAGGGCCCGCCGTCAATCTTTCATCCGGGTGTGGTCTAAGTAAGGATGGAGCAACCTGCTTCTTCTATGCTGTGGATGTTCCCTGAATTGGCGCACTTCTTGAAGTTTGTTGAAGGGCACCGGGTGCACACCTGGATGAAACGATTTGGTCATGCTCTACCGAAGCCGACTGTGCTTGTTGGCAATGTCGTTGCTAATCTTGTGGACGCTTTGGCATCCAAGTGGAGCCGCAAAATGGAGCGGAAATGGGAGGCGATGTTGATGGCAAGGCTCTTGTCCATCCCTGCGGTGAGGTTTCTTCTGAAACGCAAAGCACAGTACCCCAGCGTAATGGCCCTTTACAAAAGAACTCTTGGTTGGGGGAAGCTCAAAGTGTCCACTTTCAAAGGTTTCTGTGCCACAGGGTTTCTGGCCCAGCCAAGGTATCTACGCAGTGCCCTCAAATTCCGGTCCGCCTACAAGGCCCAGCACCAGATAAACTTGTATTACATCAAGCACAGGTCAAGGAGTCAGAGGAGGCTTCAAGTCACAGGGAAAAAAACTAAAGTCATCTGGCGTTTATACAAGACGCTTCTGTGCGGCAGTGGTGCAAGTGTGGGACCATGCCTCCAAGAGACAGGGATTAGCCTTCTCACGACCACTTCATTTTGCTGACCACCGGGCTATTTGGGAAGCGAGTTTTTCCCGGAGTGAAGTTCAAGACGACCCTTACCTGTGCTCAAAATGTTTTTGAAGTTTGCTTTGGCCCCTAGGGTTGCTGAGGGCACACTGGAACCTGAAGGAACAAATTTCCGTTCCGGACTAAGGTGGGAACTTTGATCGAGAAGATCGAGCGCACGCTGGGTCTTGTATCGAACGCACTGGCCGTCCTTTGAGGTTGAAAAAAGCTGATGGCCACAGCGTGCAGTAGCCCAATGGGAAAAACGCCTATTGGCAAACCAATAATGTTTCAATTCATTTTCCCATTGGGCCAAGACCCAACATGAGCAATCAGTTCACGAGCTCCAAACCCTTACCACTCCACAGATTTTCAAAGGCGAGGGTTTATAGGAGGTAAAGGTCTATTTTTTAAAACCGTAACTAATAGGTGTGAAAGGATATATGTGTTTAGAGGCTCAAGCTGACAAAACCTCATGTGCAAAACATCGTCCTCAACGTGCGACAATGTTTAGCTTAAGGGCCAAGGGCCATGCGCTAAGCAAAACGTGCACTTATGCTTGGAAGTTTGGCTTTAGACTGCGTTTCTGCATTGGTAGCGTAGCTTTCCTTTTCCATTGCCAATGGAAAAATCAAGATGACATCCAAGAAATGGATGCCTGCGATCCATGTTTTTGCCAAAACTGTGCAATTAATGGATGTCCTGGAGGGTCTGGGTCCTCCTCCAAGTGAACAATCTCCTCGACCAGACCGACTACCAGGGACTACTTCAGCGACGATCTCTCTGGATTCTGAGTCCTCTACTACGACATCCTCTGAGGCTGCCGGGTTTCCCTAGATCAAAATCTCTTCATCGTTTCCGTGACAGTAGATTTCTTTACACCGTGTATATATGCAATGGTCAACCAAAACAGTTTGCGCTTTTGCTGTCTCAACCCATTCGTTCCTCTCCCCCCGTACCACTTCACTTTGTTCCCCCCTCTCTCTTTACACACGTAGCTCTTTTCTGCACGAGTTTGGAAGCTATATCTAACTGTTCGCTTCTTCCTGACCTTCTACGCCATGACGGATCCTCCAGTGTCATCTCAAGCTGCCACCAGCACAGCTCCTTGGCGACATCCATTCCAATTCATCCTCGTCGCCCACGCCACAGACACCATTGGACCTATGGAACCACGCGCTTCAGGCAGTGGCTGCGCTGACCCCGGATGCCCGCCAAGCCCTCACCTCAATGCTCCTGTACCCCCCCGATGGAATACCCACATCCTTCCAATTGTCATCCAGCCACACCGCCGACGGTGTCCCCCTGGCCGCCGACAATCGACGGCATCAATACGGCCCCCACTCCCCACGGATCCAACTCCACTGGCCAACCCCCATCCAACCGGCCATCGAGATCTCGGACTCCAGCCCAGGCCGCAGCCGACGACACCAGGTCCGATGACGTCGTTCTGATCTCACCACCAACCCACCCGCCACCACCCAAGCAGCGCCCCGATCGCCCCCCGACCCCTAGAGATCTGGCTTCACTATCCCCACTTGCAAATTTCGCGCTCCAGATCCACCCTTATCTCGCAGACCAGCCTCTGAAGCTCGCAGGTTTTCCCCATGTGGCCCTAGACTGCCTGTTCCACGGCGCCACCTATGCCACAGCCTGCATCCGCAGCAGTCCTCACGCAAGGCACTACATCGGCGACTACCCCGCCGGCGTCATCAGGCCCACACCAGCAGTCCACTTCACCTACGGAGACTGAGCCCTGTCCCACTTCATCATGTCCCCCATCAATCTCAGAGCATCCTCTTCCTGAAGCAGATTCCGCACCCACCGATCCTCGAGCTCCTTGGCGACGCGCACGATGACTCCTCCCACGGCCTCCGACTATACGGCTACCTATACTTTGCGTTTCACAACCGCCCAACTCCTCTGCCACCGCAAAAAGTGCGTCGCGGCTTTGCCCACTCCTTTCCCACACGACCAAGTTGCCATTTATCAATTTGCTCTCTGATCGCCAATCCTTTTTCTCACTTGTTGCTATCATGGCCGACAATTTGATGGATGCGACTGATTCGCGATTCGATGACCACACTGCTCCTACGTCCACTCCAAGCACAGGCTGGGCCAGCTAGACTATGCCTCCCGCAGCAGAGCAGTCCGAAGAGGAAACTTATTCTGATCACGAAAATGCCCTACGTACTCGTGATGAGAGTGCATGGTTCAAACGCCATCCCTATGGCACTTTTCGCAAGGATACTAAGCCATGGGATGAGTGGTGCCCCCGCTGGCTCGGTCAGCAGAAACTCTCGTTCTTACGACAATGGCACCACACAAGCTCCAACTTGCTCCATGAACTCCAAGATCAACCCAATACATATGTTGACCGTCATCCCGACATGGGCCCTGACTCGGCCGCAGACCGCCCAGATCGCAGCTATTGGCCCCAACAATACAAGGTTTGGACCACCCATGGTTGGCAACTCGTGCTGACTGCCACCGCGACGGAACCCATTTGGGACCTTTGTGAGCGTCACCATCAACTACGTGAACAAGCAGCTTCTCTTTCCCACACCGAATCCCGAGGCATCAAACGGACCTCCGAGATCTCTATGGATGTCGACAGCTACCAGAACGTGGTTACCACAGTCTTGCAGCAGCTTCTCACCCAGCAACAGAACGGCACCATTCAGCTTCAGAACCTACCACCCTCCGACCAAGCGCACTTGATTCGGACCACCATCCACCAAGTCACTGCTCTTCCACGACGGCCAGAGGGACTCTACAACGACACTCTCTCCCCGCTGCTGGCGACACCCAGCTCTTATCCCTCTCAAGCGGCACCTCCCACCTACTTTGACAATTCCCTACTGATGACACCCGCGGCTACATCCTCATCACCGACGACTACACCTATGCACCCCCAACTGGCTCCCAATGCGTTTGTCACGACCTCTACCGAGATGGCTCTTCTGGAAGCTGACGACCGAGATCTTTAGATACCCTGCTAGCCGGCCGTCTCAATTTTCACTTACTCATCCTCTTCGGATTCCTTCGCGCACGCGGAGAAAAACATGTCACATGGCATTGCACCTTCCGGTCCTCCATTTTCTGGTCCACCCCTAGCCACTCCTCCCCTCCCATCTAGGCTCCCCGATATACCCTCCACATCCACTACTTTTCCGGCTCGAGACCTGTATGTATTCACGGTGTTTTATCCCTATGACGACTCCTCCTCGTCCTCCACCTCATCCTGCAGGACGACGGCTGCAACCAGACCCTGAAGCTCTCCGTGAACCTTACCAAGAACTGTCTGCAGTGCCACATTTACATTCAGTGCGCTTCGAACTTGACCTCCGCCTCTTGCGGCACGCACCTCTTCACATCATCACGGTGACGCTTCCCATCAGCCATATAGAGGATGAACCCTACAGTGTCGATGACCTCACAAGGACGTGATCTACTCTCGTACCGGCCTTTCCAGACGCAGCTTTTGCCGGCGATTCAGGACCATACCATTTCTCACGTCTCTTACATGATGTCCCTCGAAGACCTTGTCTTCTACCACATCAACATCCGGCAGAGTCGACCACCTGGTCATGCGGTTGAATTTCCACGAACACCTGACATATCCAGCTCACCTTACCGCGACCCAGAGCTCACAGCACAGACCTAGGCAGCACCCCCCTCGACTACATGACGATGCCGGCCACCAACTTCGTATATCCCTGATTGCATTTCCATGCCAACATGAAATTTGGACCTTCTCGTAGGTTTCACACCAGTCGACTCGAAAAAGTACGCTGACCTTCCCCTCTCCCTCTTCCCTCCCCAACACCAACCGTCCATTTCTTGTTGACGTATCACTACCCCCTACACTCCCTCACTTTTCCTCTTCAATTCCACGGCGAGTGATCACAAGGCTCAAGCAACTTTGTGCATTTTATTGCCCCATTGTCCTTCCCTCACTTCACATGGCTGAACATCGCTTCTGGATCTACGCCCTGGAAGAACGTGAAGGTCACCTGATGGCAGTGCTCGCCTCCACGGCAGCGGCGCACCCCGCAAATCTACACAAACCTCCAGATTTTGGACCAACTACGTGAAACAGCCCTATGGCGCGATCATATCACTCAGGACCTACCCTCTTCAATGCAATACCATATCAACAACCTCCGCTTCCATGTCGAACGAGCCAGCGACCATCTTCACCAAGCATCCACACGCTATACCATGCAGCCTTTTTATCCCAAAGGACAACCCAAAGGCCGTGGCAAATCCCGATCCATGGAACCGCCACCTACTGCAACCACCGGCGTCCAGACCGATCCCATTTTCCATGGTCTCCCATCCTGCCCCGCGCCCCCCGGCTCCATCTTCGACCAATCCCTGTCCCACCATCCCAGAATTGCCAGCACCCACATTCCAGACCCCATCGCCGCCTCCGGCATCTTGGGAACCCAGTACATGCTCCCACGGGCGGCCCACCCAATAAACAACCCTCCTCAGCCCATCGGCCCCCCCCCAGCCGCCATGGGACATCCTCCAGGAGTTCACTCGCCGTCCATATCAAGTCTCCAATGTCCCGGGCCTGGTCCCTCGCACCTCCACCATCCACATCCTGTCGGACTTACTGGCATCCCTACAGGCCCTACACCCGCAGAGCACTTCACCTCGTTCCTCTGTCTCATTGGCTCAGGCCATCCGCCCTCGCCGACCTCGTCGCCGCCGACCACAACCTTGGCTACAACTTTGGCACCAAGTGACTCTACTTAGATGGCGTTGTACTTATAAGTATACTTATAGTACTTATACTTATAAGTATCATAACTATATTATAGTCTACTCATACATAAGTAGCACACGTGCGACCTAAGTATGACCTAAGTGTAACCTGGTAGAACCAAGGTTTTTCGAAGAACCGGTCATATATCGCAAACTCAACAAAAACCGCGCGCTGCACGACAGGCACCAAAACTGCGCCCTCCGTGGCCTGCCATCGCTCTCCGCCACATGCCGAGAGCATCCGTCGCAGACGCGGAGGGGGCTCATTTGGGTTTCCGGCGTCGCTAGGACTATGTCTGCCGCTGTGGACATGGCGCGCAGAGGGGGCGTCACACACACTTCTCTATACCCGCGGAACCTGACAACGCTGCAGCGGTGCGCATTCGCTCCTTAAAAAAACCAAACCTCTGCTGCCAGGTGCGAAACAAACGCGAGACAAGGCGAGACAACACGCGACTATCCCGCCAGAGACGTTTTGTGGCTGCCGGACGATTGCGCTCATTGGCGCGAGACAAGCGCGAGATATGCGAGACAATGCCGGGTCTTTGCCCCAGTCTCCGGCGCGAGACAAATGCGAGACATGCGTCTGATGTCCCCAATTGCCTATAGCGGACCCAACAGCCCCATCGCCGCCTCCACACGGTTCTGCGGGGCTACAAGAAGGCCGCACACGTCCAGCGCGAAGACACAGTCCGTGAGTAGGCGGCGCCCTGGCCAGGCGTCCTCCGCGGTCGACCTGTGCAAGTCTTGGAGGAATGCCATGGCCTCCATCAAATCGTCCTGCAACGACTTGGCAGGAAGTCTGCCAATTGTGTGTAGTCTTGTAAGCCCGCCCTCTCCGCCATTCTCAACTTTTTGAGCCGAAAAATCCTGCGGGTGCGCGGATGTCTTCCAACAACCAAGCGTTCATAACTAGAACCTAAGTACGCTAAGTCTGTTCTGTCTACTTCACGTCATACTTACGACATACTTATAAGTATGCATATAAGTTGAGCGCATGTACTACAAACTCCAGCACAAGTCTGCTTTAAGTGCCATAACTTTTGATGTACTTATCATACTTATGTGCATACTTATCGTCGTTTATTTATACATTATCTATATAATTCTATATATATATCCTTGTTATAACTATACTTATAAGTACAACGCCATCTAGGTACCACCCCACCAACCATGGACAGACCCCCAGCTCCAGCGCACCGCCGATCCACCCCAGCCCCCATCAGCCCACTTCACAAACCATGGTCACACATTCTCAATACCAACAATATCAGCAGACCACCCACACTGCAGTCAATCACTCCGCCACTGCCAACCAGGTCCATCAACAGGTCCAACACACGTGGACCACACGCGGCATTCGAGTTCTGGAGAACTATGACCCCAATGATGACCCATGGCGCACGCCGGATGAACCCAATCAAGGGGCGCTCCCTTGCCATCATCCGACCAATCCATCAGCCAGTTCTTCCATCGCAGCCACATCGATGACCACTTCTACACCAGCGCTGGCTCCTGAATGGACACCACAAACTATCTCGCATTGGCCTGATGTGCGCAACGCCCAATAGAGGCTTCTTCACCTCAGCATCTCTTCCGCTTGAGAAAAAGAACCTTTGCTTGAACGTTGAGAATATCCGGTTGCACTGCACTCAGTCATTCCCCACCACCCGGACTGCGACCATCCCACCTTATAGGTGTTTTTCCCTTTTTCCCCCTCCACCAATTTTGACGAATGTCCCACTTCCGCTCGGAACCCCGAGGACCTTCTCATGCTTCTTGTTAACCCATAGCATTTTCGGCTCAGTACTCCACACTTGGCCACACATTTTGCTATCTGACTGTCAACTTGGGCACTATGGACCCCTACTACTACTGGTATCAACAAGTGCTGCAGCAACAGCAAGCTGCACAGCAGCAAACCGCTTCCGCGGAGCCGCCACATATACCCCATCGGCCACCACATACGGCCCCATCACTCAGGCTCTTCGTACATCAGCCACCTCCCAACCGGCCACCCAAGACTTCCCCCTCCTCCTCCACCCCCTTCGCACCGCACATGCACTCCAACGTCCCCATCACCCAACATGATCACCTCCCCGCGCCATGCCCAGGCTGCATCACCCTCACCACCGGGCACCATCCCTTTCCCTGCACCCCCCATACCGGAGACCTGGAAGCAGACAGATGAACATTGGGATGCAAACGACTCCGGCGGCCAGAATCAGAAGCTTTACAAATGCATTCAGCCATCCGCATGGAGCCGCAACCGCCAGATTGCCGGGCTCCCCACATTCCAAATCTTTCCGTGGCTCCTAGCATATCACGGCACATCCGATTACACAGCCCGCTCCTTGTCGAACGGGAAATTTACCAGCTTGGTGCCCACTCGCTCCATTGCTGAATCCGTCTTTTTGACCCATTTGATTCAGCAGATACGCGAACAACACATTGACCTGGATGCTACAGCAGAAGCCTTACACCGCACAGCCGGCAACGATCCACCTGCCAAGACCACCGAAGCCAAGGCATTCATGCAACCTCTCATGGACCTACTGTTAGCTGTCCTCCCAGAACATGCACCAGCTCCAGCCCAAGGCAGTGCCATCCGCCAACTTCACACTCGCGAAGCGGAACTTCAGCGTGCCAAAGAGAAACTTGAAGCCCATGGCCTGCATCTTTCCCCCCAACGACCAACCCACCGCCGGTCAGGCCCACCTCTCCCAACAAGGGGCTCTCCCAGCCTTGCGGCTCCCGCCCGCCCTGCGGCACCAGCAGCACCACCTCCAGAGACAGAACCCGAACCACTGACCCTCGCCCAAGCCCTTCAACCAGACCGTCCCACCCTGAAGGACGATGTCCCTGAGAAATGGCACGCTCGCGACATTGCCAACTGGGTCAAACAATTCGATGACATCATCCAAGAATCAGCCACCGCCATCATCAAGCTTCTCCAAACTTCAGGAGCTACGGAAAACCAACTCCAGGAAGCAGCAGTTCGCTACGGCATACCGTTGCTCAAGGTCCCCAAGCTGTCGGTCCGCACCCTGCAGCAGACATCAAACTTTTCTTCAACTCCCACGACACACACCGACGCTACCACCAACACGGCCACTGCTATGTGGGCTCTACTGCCATCGGCATAGCTTAAACAGCTGGCCAAGAACACTCCCATTTCAGCGGAGCTCTCCCTCCGCTACTGGCACTCCACTGATACTATCACCCAGTTCTCCACCATCCACATTGCCACATACCCAGACCATGACAAGGCCTGGATCTATGAACATTTGTACATCTCCAGATGGCAACCTACATTCAACTGGCCGTACATTTCACAGCACCTCAAACTCAAAGCAGACGGATGGCAATTCACCCGGCATCGAGCACACTTCTTTCCACGCCTTGCCAATCACTATCGTCTTTTTCGACGACTACGATGACGACTACAATCTACAGCCAAACCTATCCTTTACACATCACACAAACTACACGCCCTCACCATCCTCCGAGACCTCACCAAACACACACGAGCATCCTTCGACGCCGCCAGACAGCTCCGCTCCGGCAAGTACACCGATCTCGAAGTCTACGCCATTCGTCGCATGGCTACCAGCCTTGAAGAACCAGGACGAAGCAGGGCCCTCCACATTCTCAACCAAGCATTGACTTTCCGTAATCTCACCCCACCGAAGAGCAATCTTCCCCTGACCATCCCTTTCCTTGCCCACCCCAATTTCCAATCCGATGTCCAACGCTGGCACGCCCAGCTCATCAACCATCACAAGCACTTTGCCATACCTCTTCACCTCCCCACATGCAGAGTATGCGAAGCAGCTCACCCCACACTCCGTAGCCGCCTGCACAACCACCGGCGATGGGAAACAGTACTAGGCAGCCCCCCAGATATGGACCAACTCCCATGTGGGTGCGCACACCTCCGCACCTTGCTCGCACCGACTTCGCAATTACCCAACGACGAACACCTGATCGTGACCCTCGCCGACTTACAACTCCCAGTCCACCTCCGCCGATTTTTGAACGCCAATATGAACAGCACTTTCTTCCCTACCAAGCACCGCTACTTCGAATCCGTCCATAAGAGCCTATACACAAATGGCTTCGACATCATGGACTCCCCACCACATTGTCCCACCACTTCAATGCGTTCCTTACTACTCAATGGAAGCGTCACCATCTCCACCTACAACACGAAGATCGATTCACAGCCAGATCCGTCAAACAGCTTCAAGAATTTCTAGGTGACAAAGTTGTCCTTCATCATGCCGATCATGAACTACAACATCTCCGGATCTTTTGCCCCCACATCTACTTTCGTGGATGTTTGGCCACCTGGCACTCACCAGAACTTTTCCAACCACTACCAGATGACACAGACCAGACCATTTCCGCCATTATCCAACATACTTTTCCTGCACACCTCCGCCAAAAATACAAATGGGGCTTCAACACCAAATTCAAAATGCCGTATGGAGTAGTTCACCTGAAAGCCAAGAAGCTGCGGCGGAAAGGTCGCACTATCATCTCGTACTTCAAATCCTGCTACGGCCCACTCCTACGTGTCACCTCCAATGTACTCAACACCATGATCCACCGCCTCCCACCGCAGTCACCAGGGCAATTCTCCACTCCCCAACTCTGGCACCATTTCCACGAGTACCTTCAGCACACACCAGTGTCAGTGGATCTCCACGCAGTCAACGATGACTTGGTTGGTTTCTTCAATTCCGTCCCCCAAGACCGCCTGATCCAGCAGTCCAGAGCCTGGTCAACCGCTGGCAACATACATTTTCTACCCCAACCATCACGGTTGACATCCACACAACCGGAGACCCAATCCAGCTTGCCCACATTGGCCGCCACCACCGCAAACATCCCACACAACGGACACTCTACACCGACGACATCACTACGATCGTAGCTCTAGCACTGGATTCATGTATTTTCAAAGCATGCAATTCTTTCTTTTTGCAGGTCCGAGGAGCCGGGATTGGCTCTCGGCTCTCGCGGGCCTTGTGCAATGTCGCCATCACCCTCATTGAACACTCATGGCATCAACTCCACCATCCCTTGACTGACCACACCGAGATCCATTTCGTCTATTACCGGTACGTGGACAATCGCTTCATTGCCTTCAACAGCATCTTCCTCAAACACATGGCTATCCAAACGCTCATCCACCCGGACTTCTACGGCAACCCCGTGGAATTGGAACCCGTGGAGGACATGCACCTGCTTGGCTTTGATGTCGATCTATGTCAACGGACGATCACCTACATCCCACCAGACACTTCACGGAAAATACGTGACTATGCCTCAGCTGGATCCACTCGACTACGACTTTCCGGCCTTTAATCCAGAGCACATCTCATCCGCAAGTACACCTACCCGTCCTCGGCTGTTGAGCGAGCGCTTGCTCAAATAGCAGACCTATATGTCCAAAAAGGACACGATCTTCGCAGCTTGTCGTCAAGCCCTGAGAGGAAAAACTTCGGATTCGATCGCACTCGTTCTTCAATGCACTCCAGAGCAGAGTGCGCCGTCCCCGGCCCCTTGTGTGTGCGTGTTTTATCCTGTTCCTAAGGTTCTCATTGTTAATCTCTGTTCTGACGAAGCCTTGCCATACTTCCGGCCTTAGTTTCACGACCTCCCATTTCCCACCGCAGAGGTCATTTTCAGAGCAACATCACGCAGAGTGCGCCGTCCCCGGCCCTCTGTGTGTGTCACCACCTGTTCCTAAGGTTCTCGTAGCTAATCAGCGTGTGGATGACGTCCACCACGCTTCAGGAATACGATTCAAGACTTCTCAGTTTAAGCAGCAGGGGGGCAGTGAATCTCATTCCATCCACTGCCCAACGAAGACAGTGGTTTGAGATTGTGAAGCGAGAAGGGACGCCTTCTCGTGTACCTGCAAGCCAATTTTTAACTCATCGTTTCACCAATCTCAAAGAAACATTGTTAAACATCTTCAAGTTCTTGGACCCAGCCGCCTTGTTTGCATTCTTCTCCAGTCAAGGTCTAACGCACGTAAAGTGGAACTTCATACTGATCCTAGCTCTTGCGAGCAACTCTCTAAGTGTGTATCTATGTCTGTGTGTGTATGAGTCTCTGTCTGTGTGTGTGTCCGAGTAAGTTGAGGCAGTGCGTGGGTCTCTGTGTGTGATGTGTGTGTATGAGTCCCTGTCTGTGTGTGTGTCTATGTCTGCTGCTGGTGAAGGTCTTCACTCGAGATATAGTGAACCAAGTAGCGCGCAGGCCTCCCAAAGCCCCCACCGGCGGCCAAGCGGCGACAGCTCAGCTCATCTTCGCGAGCATTTGAGCTGCTGGTAAGGGCAAATGGTGAAGTTCTGCACTGTAGATATAGTGAACGAAGCAGCTCGCAGGCCTCCCAAACCCCCCACCGGCGGCCAAGCGGTGACAGCTCGGCTCATCTTCGAGAGCATTTGAGCTGCTGGTAAAGGGAAATAGTAAAGCACACAGCTCTTCTGTCTGGGAGCCCGACCCTCGCTGAGACGTTACATCCACCTCAGAGTGTCCATTCCTTGAGAAGCAGCGTTCACGCCTCCAGGAAATCTCACCGAAAAAGGCGGGCTGGAATGAAAATAGAAAATTGCTGAGGCAGCTACGCAACAAGTTTGTCGAAGCAGTGACCTGTCAGAGGAGATGCGTCCATCGATATACGATCAGAGGTAACGTTTCCTTCACTCTAGGACACAGCTTCTCTAGGATGTAGTTAACCAACCACTATGCTTGTCATTGCCTAATTGACTGTCTCAAAGAAAAACGTGACAAAGTAGCATGAGGTGACACACAGCAGCCACTGCATATGTTTTAGCGTACTCTCTCTGCTCAGCTCGCGACTAGCCTTTGTACACAGAAAAGATAGTTTATGTCTAGTAACCGCCTTGTTGTGCTTCCGCAGAACGACGTCCACACAGGAGGTGTTTGGAAGAAGTCACGGTATGAAACACGCAGTTGGTTTCCATGTGAACATCTTGTTATTTTTTCACCTCCATTCAGGGTCTTTGCCTAGTTGGGCAGCAGGGTCTTCGCCAGCCTGGTCTGGGTCTAGCGCGTCGACCCGAGGTAGATCTGGATGGTGTAGGCATCTGTGAAGTTGCGTACTAAAGTTCTACTACAAAGTCGCCAGTTCTCAGCTTCCAGCTCCACAGATTGCTCCGCGTACTAAAGTTGTACTGCCAAGTCGCCAGTTCTCATCTTCCAGGTCCCCAGATACTCCGCGTACTAAAGTTGTACTACCAAGTCGCCAGTTCTCATCTTCCAGCTCGCCGGATACTCCCCGTACTAAAGTTGTACTACAAAGTCGCCAGTTCTCATCTTCCTCAGCTTGCAGCTCCCCCGATACTCTGCGTACTCAAGTTGTACTACAAAGTCGCCAGTTCTCAGCTTCCCGCTCCACAGATTGCTCCGCGTACTATAGTTGTACTACAAAGTCGCCAGTTCTCAGCTTCCAGCTCCACAGATTGCTCCGCGTACTGAAGTTGTACTGGCGAGTCGCCAGTTCTCAGCTTCCAGCTCCACAGATTGCTCTGCGTACTCAAGTTGTACTAGCAAATCGCCAGTTCTCATCTTCCAGCTCCCCAAATCGCACTCTCGCCTGCACTTCGCGCACGCGACACGCACGATCTCCGCAGAGGGTTGCCCGCGCATCGGACAAGTCGCACTCTCGCCTGCATTTCGCGCACTCGACACGCAGGATCTCCGCAGAGGGTTGCGCGCGGACCGGACAAATCGCACTCTCGCCTGCATTTCGCGCACTTGACATGCACGATCTCCGCAGAGGGTTGCGCGCGGACCGGACAAATCGCACTCTCGCCTGCATTTCGCGCACTCAACACGCACGATCTCTGCAGAGGGTTGCGCTGGGACCGGACAAATCGCACTCTCGCCTGCATTTCGCGCACTCGACGCGCACGATCTCCGCAGAGGGTTGCGCGCTCGACACGCACGATCTCCGCAGAGGGTTGCATTTTCGGTTGAGGCTGTTCGTCCCACCCTCCGCCTTTAAGAGAGAATTTATAAAGTGGGGAAATGTTTTTCATTAGGACATCTCCCGTGCAAGCTTTCCATACTCACACTTGCATTACACTTGCATACTTTTGCTCTTGGATACTTGCCGTTGGATGCTTTCACTCTTCCACTTACACTGGGATATGTATAGAAGTGTCAGTGTTCAAGTGTAAGTGTGGAAGCGTAAGTGTTCAAGTACGTGTAGAAATGTCGGTGTTCAAGCGCAAGTGTGGAAGTGTCAGTGTGTAAGTGTAAGTGTAGAAGTGTCAGTGTTCAAGAGATTTTCCGGAATCCTTCGCAATGCTTTCGGGAAAAAGACAAAGAAACATGACGCTTCCGCAAAGGTGTAGAACATGAATTATTGTGTCTAGTGGCAAGGGATACTTAGGGCCTACGGCCTCGACTTAGCATGCTGCTAAGCAATGCACGTTACGAAAGTCTCAGACTGCTATCCATATCAAGCCGGCACATGGAATTGTGCAAAGGACCTGGCCTTGCTTTGGAATCCACCTCCTACATCCACAGCTCGTGTGAAAGCAACAGCCAAAGACTACAAGGCAAAGCAACTCAACCAATGCAAAAAGAAGAGACACTCCATGCAGTATGTCGGCTGTTGCCTTCTGACCTTTTGCATCTTCCACCTAAGGTTCTCAAGGCAAATGGGCACGGAGTAAAGTCAATGAAAATCAGAGTGAGGTTCATAAAGCAAAGGAGTGAGTGAGCTCTGAAGCCGCGACCAACTTTCGCTCAGACCTCCCCCGTTGCAGTGCCTGAACAGCAAGACTAAACAGCAAGGGGACACGTGTACAAATACAAGGCCAAAACATTCATGTGTAATGAACCGAACATGCAGCTGCATAAACTTGCCTGAATCTTTGTTGCACCCCGTGCTTGTTGAAGTCCAATAGCGGCCTGATATGCAAGAAGCTCTGGCAGTGGCAACATGTGTCGAGCTGGAGGGTTTAAAGTTCTAATGGTTTCCACTAACAGCATAGAAGAGCCTGAAAGCATTCCTTCACAAAGGTTGAAGACAAATAACATTCAAATGTCCTCACGTACGTCCTTGCTAAATTTGAGGCTATGCAACTGCTCCCCTGCTTTCAAAGACTTCAGGTTGTTAAAGCTGCGGTTTCTCCTTCACGCCAGCACTTTCGGATGTCGTACATACCTTGAGGGACTGGCTAATCCTCTGCAATCTTCCTCTTCAGCTTTTTCAGGATCCATTTTGCGGCATCTCTGTGCATTGCTCTTGCTTGGGAAGGTTCCACGTCGCACGTGATGCGCCATATCTAGCGTCATTGCTCATACGTGCTCAATGGGGCTGTGCTGACATACGATAGGTCCGATAGGGGCCTACAGGGCCTGCACACTTAGTGCAAGCCATCCCTCGCAAAAAGACTACGTGGGCATGGTATGGCATGGTTTGCCAAACACTTCGCCGTGGCTTGGCAGCCTTTTTCATAGAAAAGAGTTTGGCAAACGTTCAAGATCTTGGCTCTTGACATCTTGAAGACTGCCCACTTCGGAGGCAACCTGACTCTGTAATGATGGCATCTCGATTGTGCCATGCAAGTTGTCAATCCCCCTGGTACATACAGTAGATTGCAAGTGCATGCAGCCATGAAGCCACAAATGCACCAGCAAGCCGCTGCATCGTTTCCAAAGGGACCTAGGGTCGAAAGAGATTGGCTCGAGCAGAAAGAATGAGAACGATGTGCACTGATTGATTCATGAGCTACTTCTTGGCGCCGTAGCCAGGAGTTTGGAAAATGGGTGCTGGGGATGAACAAGTACAGTTCAGATCACCACGAGCACAATCATGTTGATATTACATTTATGTGTATATCTTTGTTTTTCTCCTTGCCCTTCTATATACAGTATATATATATATAAGTCTCCCAAAAGCACGTCAATAGTTTGCCCAATGACTGCGCCACAACATATGAACTTTTGTCCAACGCATAGTTGATATAGGTCTTAGTACAGGCCGAGCCACACCTACGAGTTCGCTGCCACAGGACGTCAGAACCTGACTTCTGAGCCCAATAAGAATCAAAAAGCAAACAGCACGGGCTTGATACTTGCAAGGCCAGCCATCGCTTGCAGCTCGGATACCGCAGAAGAGAACATATCTCGCAGAGCATTGCCTGCAAGGCACTAAACAAATATCCAAACATTGTCTCCAAACAATTGAAATTCAATGAATCCATGATGAGCATGTGCGAGTACGCATACTACCTGTATATATATACATACACATGCATTGTATATATATATATATGCATACATATGTACACCAAAACTTATGCACAAAGAACCTTGGTGACACTAATAATTAACCAAATCTCAGTGTATGGGGCTAATCCTACAGTCTTTACCTCCCAAAGGTTCAAGCAAGAATCTCCTCCAGCCTGCTGCATCCCAGCAGCCGGGATCTGGATCCACTGGAGTCAAATCACCACGTGGCCGGCTCTGTGCCAAAGCCTTCGCATGTCGAACCCTAGACTGCATCAGCTGTGCATCAGTGCATCCACTTTGGTTGGTTCCAAGGCAGTCCGAATGGTTCGACTTAGCAAGTCATGCCTACGATCATGGGAGCCCTTTGATGATGAACACCAATGGACCATATGGGCTGGGGCTGATCGATGTCCTGTTCAAACCTTCGTGGAAGTTCAGATTGCGTTTGTGGAGGCTGGAAACTCTGTGCCGAAACAGGGCCAGCATGGCATACCAGCTATCAGCCCAATCCCGTAACCTTCAAGTACAAAGACCCAAGCAGTTCCAAACAACCAAGCAGGCCTCCGCGGCAGACATTCCCTGCTCCATCAATCGCTCTGCACGCACAAGCTGCGCAATGCCCTCCACCAGCATGTCGACCGTTTCCTGTACTGAACATCTCTGATTTCTTACGATTTAGCTTTCAGTCCACAGAGTCTTTTGTGTCACGTATTCATTTCCAAATGTCCTCCTGGGTGATGTTTAACTTGTCCCGACTTGACACCTTGCGGCATACAGCATGCCATAATGACATTGGAAGCTCCTCTATCAAAAACAATCACGTCCTGTCTCAAGACCCCAAACATGTGTGACTGTTCTCGGTCTGCTCACGCCATCTTTGAGCTGCTGAAGGTGTTGAAAATAGATTCACCAAACACAAGCCACGGGAGCACCTCAACCAGGTCAATCATTCGATCCCCAGACCTCAGCGATCAAAGCGTTCGGTTCGAAACCAGCAAAGGTTGTTTGAGATTCCAAATGCCTGAGGTTGAAAGGATGTTCAAGCTAAACAGGCGAGGCGTACACGCAGCGCCCACCAAATTCTCCACACAAATCAGTCACGCAAAGAATTTGGTAATGGGAAGCCGGATGACTGGCTGATGGCACTCTTCTCCACCAACCGACGCGATGCACACCACCTCTGAAGCTCTTCCTGCGCATTACGGTCCCAGCCCTCTGGGTAAGCCGCAATCCATGACTCCAGGAAAATGCCAAACAAAAGCAGGGCTAGCAGCTTCATTTTTCATGACCTACCCAGGGACCCAGTAACAGTAGTTGTGACACACCGAAGCTCTTGCCATTCTCACCTTGCTTTGCTTGAGAAGCGGGAGCTTGACAATCGCACTGACCTCAGGCTCATTCACAGGGTTCTCATTCATGATTCCTACTTTCAACCTATTGGTTCCTGCACTGCAGTCTCTTTTTCAGCTCAAATTTATGCTGAAAGATCACTGTCCAGGCCTGTGCATTTCATGCAAGGCTGCCCGACATGAAAGCCCAGTGATTCAAAGAAAAAAAGTGGGGCTGCAATGGACAGGGCTGGCACATAATGGCACAGCGGCAAAGCAAGCTTCATATTGTGTATAACACTGATTTCTTGAATTGCGATTACCACCTTCGTACATTTCATCATTTGATGATGTGCTTGCAGGGGGGTGCGAGGACAGTCGCAGGGAAGCCAGTTGAGCGGCTTCCTTTGAATTAAAGGATTTGCCCCCAAAATCCTCTGCGCCTCAACCTCAAGCACCAAAATACATGCGCAATTGGATGGAAGATACTATCAGGCTTGCCAGTTGGCAGGCCAACCCATGGCCGCCCTGGATGGATTTGACAGCCATGGGTCCAACATGTGGTAACCCAAAGTCTGCTCGGCACTATATTTGACCCACAAGAACCCGTCTTCTCGGCAATGCTGCTCGTACCTTGTTGGCCGCACGGGAAATGCTTCGGACATGCGTTGAAAACAACCTGATTGATTGTACTGAGCAACATGCCAAAGAAGAACGCTACTAGGAACAAGGACGCTACTAGGCTCCAGGCCGTACTACTAGGGACAAGGACGCTACTAGGGGCATGCTAAACTGCACAAACTTTTGCGGTCCCTCTGTGCGATCCCAGGCTCAGCTCCGCCATTCGAGCAGTACATCTCCTGCCAAATGAAAGGAGAATCCGTTTGGATGATCTTTCATGCATGGCATGGCCACTCATTCACGAGAAATAGCTTGCACAATGCTCAACCAAGCAGCGGAGCAACACCATTCACGAAGATGTAGATCGTCTGCTCTGGCGAGCGTCCTTGGGCATTTTGCTTTCCCCCTCAGCCGAGTTTGTGGCAGCTGTGCCTGCAGCTTCTTCAGGCGCTGCCTTCTTCAATTCTTTCTGCACCTCAGTTGCAAGGCTTCAACCTCGTTCTATTCTTGAGGGTTATTTTCAAACAAATTCAGTTTCAAGTCTCAAATTGTTGCAATTTTGTCCAAGTCAATGTTTGTCCTGTAGCCCAGCATGGCGCCAAATACTTGAACTCGCCAGCGCTCATCTCCCCGGGCACTGCAAATTTGTTCCTGGCAACTTTTTTAAAGTTTAAAGTTTGAAGCATCTGTTTCGATCATTGTACTGACGAATTGGCGTTTGCGGTCCAAGTTTCTTTACCAGTTGAGGAAGCTGAGAGTACGCAGATCGTTCGCCTGCACTTTGAAGACAAACTCAAAAACGCGTCTGATTCCAACATCCACTGGCGTTTCGCTTCAGGCCACCACAAAACGAGTGTCCTAGCCCTAGCAGTGCCTAGTGACACCTTTTGGGGATGTGGCGTCCACAACACTCACTCCGCAGAAAAAGAAATCAAATATATATATATATATGTGCAAAAAAGACTGCGTCTTCCTATTCTCAACATCCAAGCGCATGACATAGGATGGGAATCCGATCCTCAGGTGAGTGAATCAAAAGCACCTAACATCCGATTAGCGCGAGAGTCCATTCAAGAAATTATAATGCAACATTTTCCCTACAATGTATACCAATGTGCATTGACAAGACATATGCGAAGTCCCCAACCAGCAAGCAACCTTTGAGAACACAAGCCACGTGCTCATAGATTCTGATGTCTGACTTTGCCCGATCTTTCTCAATCTGAACGCTGTTGCACCAAACCAACTCTGGTTCTGAAAAGCGTTTGCCAAAAAGGAACTTGCCGGAATTGTCGCTTGCACTTAAAAGTCGCTCAAACAAGATGTGTCAGATTGAAAGCAATCCATTTTCTGAACAATCTTGCATCTATCCCATATGTGTTTGGCCTTTCTTCGGGGTAGCAGTTTGTCATGAACTCACTGATGTCTACACTTTCAGCTCCAGGGTTCGCTTGAACATGGCTCGCGTAGCTTTGGGTTGGGAAAGAGAACTACACTACACCGGTTTTGAGTTGATGTCTCTCTTTGTCATGTTTTTAGACATTTTATATAGTGTTGTCGGTTGCGCGCTCTCTCTCTCTCTCTCATCTGTCACGGGTAGAAATCGTGCAGGTTACTATCAATTTTGGCTGATGGACTCCACTTGCAAGAACAAGGAAAGACACTGAAAGAGACGAAAACAGGACAAGGGCTTGACTCAAGCGAGGCCGGAAACACGCGCAGTCACAAAACCTGGTGGCTACAACCATGAGTCAAGCCCAAACGACTCCGCCCACATACAGTCGCACCAAAAACACAACATACATCAACTATCACCACTGCTTGCTTGCAATGCTCTAGGGGGCAGGTGTAGGAAATGGACCAAGATACGTCTGGGATACTGGGACACAAACTGACAAAACTGCCAAACCATGACTAAGGCAAGCAGACCGATACACCAGCAAACACCGAGACAGAGGTCGTCCATGCAGGCCGCATCAGGCCGCCCTTGACCTAACGACCCCCAACTGCCTAGAGAGTGCACTACCCCAAGCTGTTTCTTTGGGGGGGAGAAGAAGAAGAAGAAGGAAAGAAGGGGTAGAGTAGCAACATGCCAGGTGAAACTCCAAGAAAACAGCTCGGAAGTGCAGCAGCACCTCGAAACAAAGACCGGAGAAGGCACTTCACCTGAGACGACACAGCGTCATAAGCATGACCGGGAAACTACAGTCATGACAGAACCAGCGCGCTCACCTGATCACAAGAATGCTTTGGACAAAAGCACAAAACATAATCACAGTCACAGTGATACCACAGGTATGACTCTTGGACCGGGCAACATCACAAGAGTAGCGGAAACACAATGGCAACGGAAATTCATGCATTGCCGAAACGTGCGGTATGACGGCGACTGTCCCGGCGACTACGACAATAATGCGGCAAACATCACAATCAAAACCCATGGGAACACCATTGAGCGGGATACCACTCCCACCATCTAGAGTCTAGGCCTTCCGAAATAAACACAGCACGACTTGAAGCGCAATGCTGTTTGTTATTGGGCACAGGCCGATTGATAATATAAATACATACATTCAAGTAAAGAAAAATGACCTCTCAGAACTGAACCAGGATGCCTCATTTAAGTACTGTTTGGAGACAACCTGTTGGCTTTGAGGGGTTCAAGAATGAATTCCAATACTTGACCACCTTTCTCGCAAATCGAGGAGGCTTTTCGGCTTATTGTGCTCACATAAGTGCCCTGAGAAAACAAAGCCGTGGATGACGAGGTTCAGGATGCTTCTCACGAATCCTCTTAGCTTCTTCAGGCCCAACACCTGAGACGAAGTCTGCATGGGTTTGCTCATGACTCATGACATGCAGATCATGTGGCATACTGCAAGCAAGATGCCAGAAGTTGCATTGTAGCCACTGTGACCGGTGAGCTGTTGAATGCCAGCCCGTATGGGAGCAGGGACAGATTGCGACTGCGACAGCCTCCTGCAACCTGCATTGCAGCAGAATGAAGAACTCTCTGAAGTTGAACTAGCTTGTGCAAGTCTGTGGTGACGCACCACACCCACATGATGAGCCCAGCCAAAAGGGGTGACACGAAGCGCACCAAGCTATGGGCCTTTGTCCAAGACAGCGCCAGCTTTCTCAACGCCTTTGTCCATGACTCGCACTCCTTCATCACAAGCTCGATCTGCAACCTGCGACAACAGCCGCCCACCCAACTTCTTCCAAGAATTGCCAACTATAATGCTACAAATAAGGTCTGCCCTTCTTTGGGCTACAGGAGAGTGAGAGAAAACAAAGGTTACTGTATTGTTTGGGCAAGACTCCTTCAGGTAGAGTGAGCCAGCTTTCCTTGCCACGGCTCCAGACAAGTCCTGACAAGCAGGGGTGACATGAGCATTAGCCTCACCTATGACATCAGCGGCATCAGGCTGTGAACGAATCAGGATATGAGCCCAGTTCTCTCTCGGCCTCCCGAGTGGATGCATACAAGGCAGCTGCCCCCAGCACAGCACCAGAGACTGGGCCAGCCAAAAGCATTCCTAGACCAGGTCTGTGGTACAGACAAAAGGGAACACCAGAGCAAAGATGTAAAGTTGAAAAACCATTTCTCCGGCCCCCCTCACTTGCAAAAGTTGCCGCTAAATCCTGCCCAGGGTCCAGTGGCGCCACCGAGAGTGGCAGCTGCACCCTGGATCCTGGCCAGCGCAACAAAAGAAAAAAAGCGGAGGATATCTGTCAGACCTCTGCAAGCTACAGAAAGACAGTCCTCCTACTTGGATCCCCGCCGTCTGAGGCCTTGGTCATTCAATCAGTGCAGTGTCAAACATTCCAAGACTTCAAGACGTGTCTTACTTCAATGCCAAGCATTAAGACTCTGAGTCGGCGGCGTCAGGTGTGAAGGGCTGCTCAGGGCATTCAGTTGGGGAAATCACACTCTCTGGCGTCTCCTGGCAAATATCAGGCCCCAGTTGGCTTAAAGAAATCGGTCAAAGCGCGCCTCGTGAGACTCCTCAGCAGACCTTGTCTCCACACCATCCTCCTGATGGAAAGAACAAATGACAAAAGGAAGGTAAGGTAAGGCTCCTTGTACAGTTGTCTTACCTTCATTCTTGTTCCTTTTCTCATGTCAATATTCGTGGCTACAGCGTGAACTAACCTTTTGCTCTTGACTGACACATGATTTGTTTCCCTTGCTTCAGCGACATGGTGCAGTACCGGCAAACTAAACATTTGTGCGAGCGCCTCTTCAAGGAAGCTCCCCCACGGCCTTTAGGGTGGCGGGGGGGTCTTCCTTGAAGAAGAGTGAGCTATCCTGCATCCTAGGTAGTAGCGTCTTAGTAGCTAGAAGTAGCTACCTCCCTTCTACCTCTGATACCTGTTCTAGCGGCCTACCCCGCGGGGCTTTAAACAAAAAAAACATACATATATATATTATATTATATATATAATATATATAATTTTAACAAAATAAATACTTGAAAAAATGTAATAAAGGCATCACGGTCCTGACTTTCGCAAGGAAAGCTGTCTTTGTCCAAGTGTTTCCTGACGGCATCTCCCAAAGCTGCACTTTGGGAGGCTTGCTGAGCGCCCAAAGACGGCCCCAACAAACAATACATTGGACAGCAGAATAAGGACATCGCTGAATCGCATCATCGTTGAAGGGCAGCTTTTGGAAGCCCTTCCCCTTTCTGCTGGACTTCGGAGCCATAGCAGGTGGTGCGACTACAGCTGAAATGCATCCAAATTGAGTTGCTTGTAACTTGTAACGGGGTCTACTGATTGGCAGCTCAACTGCAGTGTTGTCAACAGCTGATCACACGAGGTCGCAAAAACTGCGCATGGAAAGCTCCGTTGTTTGCTCAATATATCTGGCTTTGAATGTCAACTCGAGAACTGCTTTGTTTTGCAGTGTTGTAGTGCTCGTGGTCTGCCCAATTTGGTTGGCATGAAGCATGCTGCCCGATGAATGTCCACCCCCCTGTACGCTTGTCAGTGGCAGCTTTTTTGGGGTGCGGTGAGCCAGTCTGAGTGGAATCAAAATGTTCAAATGGAATCAAACAGCGCCAGTGCACTATCAAAGCACGTCAGCACACATGCCACAGGAAGCCACAAACATGAAATGACAAAGCACATGACACGCATTGCAGTTCCAAGGATAGCTGGATTGGACGTCAAATAGCCTGGTCAGATGTCATTGATTGTGATTGATTCCCCCCTCCGGACAGCAAAAAGGACAAAAGTGAGCCAAAGGTGGCTCAATGGGCCAAGTGCCTAGTAGATTCCTTTGCTAGTAATTAGTAATTACAATTCTAATTAAATTCTTATTGTTACTAGTAGTAAGGCACTTGTTCCTACTAGCGAGGCACTTGTTACTACTAGTAAGGCACTTGTTACTAGAAGCGATGCACTTGTTCCTAGTAGCTGGGCCAAGTGCCTAATCGTGGTGAAGTGGCAAAGGTCCTCCCCGGCAGCTTGGAGCTAAGTTGTTCCAGGACCTTTGCTCAGCCGCGAATGCCAAGTGGTGTCGTGCAGAGCCGTGGAGCGGATGAGTTGCAGCCCACCGTCATTTTGGACGTTTCAACAAGTCTCAACAGGTCTCTGGGTGTGATCATCTGAGTTCTGTGCTGCATGAAGTTCTTGGTAAGCCGCTTGCACCTCGTTGGTCAGGCAATATTATAAAATTAAAGTTGCCAAAGAATAGCCATGCAGCTCGGGATGGCAAAATAAAGACTGAGCTATTGGCGTTTCCACCTGCCCGCTGTGAGGTAGCTTTGAGGTGCTCCTTTCAGACCATGCATGGACAACGAACTGTGCTCATCAACGCCTGATTTTGACCAAGTGCTTCCGTTCCCCAGTATGTATGTGTGTGTGTGTTCTTGTCACCTTGCTTAAGAACTGCCAATTGCATTGTTGTGCCATGTCCTCCTCATTGATCCAAAGCGTGAGTGTTTTTCGCGCGTTGACGAAAACACCTGATGCACCAAAACCCAACAGCGCTGCTTAGCGCGGTGAACATGCGAGTAGCCAAGCTTTTTCACACAAGTTGTAATTGTTGTAATTGCCCATCCTAGTCTCTGCAAGCAGCTGCATACAGGCCAGGCACACCTCTACCATGCGGCCAGTGGCGGCCAGATCCAGTACTCAACACGGCTGGCGCATCTGGGTGGTAGAACAGGAGGTGATCGTCGGCAAGCATCTTGCAGCAATGGACCAGAACGAGTTGCGAGCATCTGACAAAGGACAATGCTGGGCCTTCTCTTCTGTAGCCGACATTCCGCCCGGCTTGGACGGATAAGAATTGGATCCCATCAGTGGAAAATACTGACCTTTCAGGCTACCTGCCAAGCAAGGGCAGTGAAAAAGGGTTTGATTCAGCTTGATTGGTGGATCAACGTTTCATCTGCCTTCCATTGATGCGGCGGAGTCCACAAGCATTCGCTCAACCTGGCCCGTGCATCTGCTGCAACTGCCAGTGAATGGACAAAGTGCCTGCCTCTTCGCGGTCTTGTCGAGTGGCAGCAGGTGGAAATCGAAACCCATCAATGCTCCTGGCAAAATCTGCCAACACAGTCAAGTCAGTGATAATTATACACTTCAGTTTCAAGCGCCACGAAAAAATGTACAAAAGCGCACGGGCCCACAAGTCACACAGACCTGCCGCTAACATTCCCGTGCGCGCTGAGAAGCGCGTCCATGCGGCTAATTACACAGCACGAGCCTTGCACATATAAAAGTTTAATAACCTGAATAAGGATATTGTATGTGTATATATATATATATGTGTGTGTAGCCGCCCATCTCTGTGCTTGGAATGTGGCTCCTGGATGCGGTCACCTTACAGGAGATAGCCTTAGTTGCAATGAGCGTGCCATAATCCAAGGAATGGCAATGTGCAAACTCTATTGCAGGCAAGTAGGCATGATAAAGAAATGCTCTATATAATGCAGCCATCGGAAGACCCACAGTGCCGTCCAAGCAGCATACCCATCAAATGGTTCAGCTGATTCAGTGGTCAAAGTTCGCCGCCCAAATGGTTTTGACTCTGCCGATCTTACCTGCAAAGCTGCAGGTCAAAGGAATACTCGTTTGATCTCGTTTGGCACCAGAAGCGCTTGCCTTTCCATGCCTGCTCTCGATCAGCTTGTCAAACAAGGGCCTCGGGGTGAAACATGCAAATTTGATCAAATTTGTCAATCACATTGCCGTTGCTATCACCAGAGAATTGCGGAAAGGAGGCGCGAAGGTGTCGTAGCACTCAGCATCACCAGCAACTGCGCCCAGTGATTTGAGCACAGGATGCCCCCTGTTGTCAATGCCTCGTCACAATGAGGCACGGACCCTGGCTTGACAGAACGAGCTTGGCCTGTCTTGATGCATCTCGCCAGGGTGACGCCTCAAGTGGAGCAAAGTCACATTCCAGCTAACCAGATGCACCGGCTACGAATCCCACCTTTGGACGTTGCTCGCGCTTTGAGCTGCTCATAGAGTTCTGGATGGGCCTTCAATCATCTCTTGCTCAGTGCACCGCCACATGGCGGGCATTCATTGTTCCATAAAGTTCCATAAAGTAATAAGGCATTATCGAACATACATCCTGAATGGTCATAAGTCATAAGTGTATGACCAGAACGTCATTAGCACATAACTTAACTAAATGATATCATGATGTCTGCTACTATTGATGTACCAGCACAACATATATAATATTATGTAGCAATCAACAAGACCTGACCAAACACACAGGCTGCTAATACGACACCAAGATTGATAAAAGACTTCAGGGACTACCTAAATTGATCGAGATTTTATCACTATCACTGACCTAAAATCTGCACAATAGAGGCCACACAAACACAAAATCCTTGCAAACATGATTGGGCCACAAACGTTTCCTCTACATGATGGGAAATCCAATGAATTCCAACAGGGAGCAAGACCTATCATGGCATCTGACAGCAGCGAGAACTTAATGTGCCCCCTGTCAGGCCAGTGGCAAATCCCAAGCCCCTTCTAATGGAAAACTCATGAACACTCCACGCGGTTTTATCCCGCTATCCGCCACCCTTCATTAAGCTCCACGGCCTTCAATACATCAGCACACACGCTGCAGTGCCTGACATTCAAGCTTTCAGAGGACCCGCAAATGCTGTGACACCCTCCCAGTGCTGCACCATTACTGCCCTGACCTGGAGAGATCAGGCAAAGGCGGACATTCTGCTGTTGGGAATCCAGGGTAGTCCTCATGACCTCAGAACCAATGACCGAAGCGACTTCAGCAAGTAGTGACCTCATAATCTGCGGATCCGCTGCCTAATCCGGGAAACTGTTCAAAGGGAATTGCCAGTGGCATGGCGCTTTGCAACCTGGCATTGGTTCTGGGTTCTGGGAAAGGTGTGATGTGAGTTGCTCGCCTGCCCAGCTGATTGCCGTGCACACTTCAGCATCCGCTTTCCCAATTCGAGCTGAATGGCCCGTCTCCAAATCACAAAAATTGACAACATGCCTGCACAGGCACTACATTCCATATCTTTATGTGTATGTGTATATATATATATATACTGTACATATACTCCCCTCTCTCTCTCGATGCTCACTACCATCACTCATGTCACCATCACTGATCCCATGCAAATGCAGCACTTTTTTCGAGCTGTCCACGGTCTGCCACACAAGCGGCAGATCAATCGTCTTCACAGGGACCCACCTAGAGCGGGCTGCAAAGGCTGGAAAGCACATGGAGCGCAAGGCTGACCTGACGCCGATACTATCAGATAATGAATGGCTTGCCATGCTCCACGCTTTGTCCAAGATTGTCAAACTCTGGATGTGTTGAAATACCGAACCTCAAAGCCTGCAGCTATGATGAGGAGGACTTCCGCTTTGACCTGGACTTCCTCCCAACAATGCATCTGATGGTGCTAAGGGGACCGTCGACACTCAAAGCTGACCTCTTCTTCTTTTCAGCAGATGCGGAGGTCGATGACGAAGACTTCCGCTTTTTCTTTTTGCCTTTGAGCTCTTGACTGCATGATTTACACAGGGCGACTCCCTTGACAGCAAGACCAATCAAAATTTCAGCGCTTGTGAAGACAAGCCGCTGTCCTTCCGCCTTGGCAAGGGGCCAATCAAGTTATGAGTCCAATGGGAAGCAGTGTCCTCTTGGCAAAGCATCTGACTTTTTGTCTTTGCTTGATGAGGTCGATGATGAAGATTTCTTTTTCCTCCGGGATGACTTTGAAGCTTTCCTCACCGTGCTGGAACATTGCATGATGGGCTTTAAGGATCCCAACTTGTGGGAAAAAAGAGGGCCTAATAAGCATGACAAATAAGGCCGCCAAAATACCTTCTCCGTTTTGAAGATGACGTTGACGAAGAAGACGAAGACGAGGACTTTTTTGCTTGCTTTTTTATTTTGCTTGTTGGCATCTTCCTGCCATGTCAATGAAGGGCTAAAAAGGCTCGACTCGACAGGAACTCATATGTGGAGAGTAAGCACGTCTCATGTAAAAAATTGGATGTCGTCAGTTTTGAGATCGACCTTGTCGTTTATACAGTGTTGTGAGTGAGTTCGACATACACTTATATATTATTATGGTTCTATCCAATCATTTAAAATGACACAAAATGACAGGGGTTGTCGGTGTGGAGGTGGACCTGATCGTTCTACCCTATTTTAGAGGGCTTCGTGCGCAAGCCTATCCCTTTCTACTAGTGACCTTCGCATGTTTTGAGCGCATTTCGTGTAGTCGCTAACACCCTGAGATAATGCTCTTGATTGCACGCTACAAGGTGCAGAAGCTGACGCAGTGACACATCTCCCGACTCGCTATGCACAACTAATGTGCCGGCTTAGTGTAGCAAAACTCCCGACAATACCAGAGCACTGTACAAAGGGCTGGTAGCTAAAGCCCATATAGATTGCAAGGTTGGAGTTTGCTGCCTTCACCCCCGTTGTTCGTTATCATTCCTTAGGTCCTGCAACCAAATCCCATCAAATCCCTTATGCTAGGCTAGCGGCTAGCAAGAACACACGCGTAGATCAGGCTCTGAAAATGCTCTATTCTAACTGCATCGAATCTATCAATACCCAACCAGGTCCGAAGTGCCCGGTGAGGAAAGAAATCGTGATGAGCATAATGAGTAGCGTCCTTGCTCCTAGTAGCGATGCCAGGAGCCCCTAGTAGCTTCTTGCTCCTAGTAGTAAGGCCAGGAGCCCCTAGTAGCGTCCTGGCTCATAAACAACGTTTGGAAAGGCTTGATGCCATCAAGTTGCAGATCGCCAGCAGGTGCCTTTGGCTCTGGAGGATCAATCCCTTGTGCGGGATCCACCCCCAAAGTCTCAGTCTGAGTGGGCCTTCAAGAATGTCCAAATCATTGTAAACAGCATCATGACCCTGAAGGACTTGATGATGGACTTTGTGCACATTGCTTCTTCTTGAACTGTGTCTACCTTGACATAAAGCTGCAAAAGAAGCCCACCTGCTCGGTTCAGCAGCCTTCTCAGGTTCGCCTACTGGAGACCTGACAGGGCTTAACATAATTCGCCAAAAGGCAGGGATTAAATGCCCTCTCCGTCGTTGGATTCATCACAAGGGCCCACCTAGTGGTGACTGTGCCTGTATGCACAGGAACCATTGTCCTCAGGATGTACGTTGGCACTGAAGCAGCCCCCTCATGAATTCCAATCAAGTAAGACCAAGTCAAGACTGATGCGTTATCCCTTCGGTAAGGTTCAAGCTCTGCTTGAGCGCTTGGATGCTGATCCACCGCCAAGTTTGCCACAAGTGGGCTACTTATAAGCCTCTCTTCCATCTGCACCTTGGGCTTACCTGGGACAAGGGCGGAGTGACAGCACCTTCCCACTGTGAGAGCTGCGACATACAGCAATACAGCTACTAGGGGCTCCTGGCCTTACTACTGGGAGCAAGGATGCTACTAGGGGCTCCTGGCATCGCTACTAGGAGCATTCTTACTACTAGCAACAAGAAGCTACCAGGCATACAGTAGTTTTGATTTTTAACGTGGTGGTCGCACGCTCCCTCTACGCGCTGCAACCAAAAGAGAAAAATATACCAGCATAAACACAGACCTCAAACAGTTTCAGCAGGGTTGTTTTGCAACAGTTCCTTGAACTCCAATGTTAGTGGGCAAAAATATGCGATTGTATATATACAGTATGTATGTATGTATGTATGCCATATATATATATATACAGTACCGTATATTCCTATAGCCTCCAGCTGTTTCAGAACAGCATGTAAAATTCATAGCCACAAGAAACAAACAGACCAAGCGGTGGAGAAAGGGAAAGTCGCTGCCAAACAGGGGACAAGGTCCGGACAAGGCGGAAAAAACAGCGTGACGAAAGGGCGGAAGGCGCGGCGACTGCTAGACATATGCTGGATTATGCCCAGAGACCGACCTGGGTGAAGCACATCAGATTTGTATCCGCAAGTCGACACCACAGGCAGATGCTGCAAACGTGGTGTCGTAAGTTGCGGAGGGTCCAAGGAGTTCCGATGGTAAAAGGACATTAATTGAGGAAATAGGTGGCAGAACTTCTATGAACTGAACGATATACTTGGAAGTGAGCACTCACAGGCTCAGTTCTGACCTTAATATGCGCGGAGATGCGTTTACTTTCTCCCGAGTGCTCGGGTTACGAAAAGCCGCCGTTGGACGACGCCTCACGGTCGGAGCGCGTATTTTCAGAGCTTCACGTCTTCGGGAAGAAAAACAACGCAGACCACACTGCCGACACGGATTTGTTGCTGATCCGGATGTGTTGCTGTGCTCTATTTTTAAAATTTTGCAATGTCCACACTCAAGCTGCATTTCAATCAACATAACAGTATTCAAACATATGAAATGAACCGATGGCCTGGTACGCCTGGTAGTATCTTGGGTGAATCCAAAGCAGGCTCTGGGATCTCCTCACAGTGGAGCAGAAAACACACACAACTACAGCAACAGATGCTTTTGGTCAGTCCTTTTCTATGGAGACTTGCTGCGGCCGGACGCCTGGCATGTTCGGTATATGCTGGAGCCAAATACATGAATATATCAGTTCCGTTCCAACCACCGGACCTCGAGTAATGTGGATCGCCTTGGCCGCTAGCGTTTGACTTGTACAGGAATCAAATCAAAGGCTTTCCGGGCCAAGGCAAGCACAGTGGATGGCTCCCGATACACCTGGCAGCACTGAAACTGAGTTGATGGTACTCAAAGCCCTCAAAGCATCGCGATGCCACAGCGTTCACAAGCTTGCCCAGGCTCACATATGTCCGGGAAGAGCCACCGAAACGAAGGTTATCACCGGAGCATACCCGCTCCAGCCTCAAGTTTTTGGAGTACAGTAATTTGTCATGTCAGTGATTCTCCGCCGCCGGTGATTTCAGCGTGAAAGCCCCCCTTTTCTGCGAGCAGTCGATTTAGTCAATTTCATCCACCAGGACCAAGACCCACCAGCATCAAGCCCGTCAAGCACTCCGAGCGCTGATGCATCTTGAAGAATCGGTTGGGTCCATGTGGGCACGCAAAGGCCACCATGGCCAGCGCCAAGTGACCGGAAGTCTTTGCGGTCACTGTATGTAGCTCCTTGCTGTGAGCCTCACTCACTACTGGTCCTTCTTCAATGTCGGTTCAGTGCTACCCTTGGGCAACATAGAAAATTATGCTTGGTGTCAGCATTGGTGTCGCTTCAAGGCGTGCCCTGTATCTGGGGATGGGACACATCTCACGAAGGTGTTGATGTACCTGAGCTGCGAGCCCCAACGCATTCACAAACAAAGACACATCCACTGACACAGTAGGTTGGAGGCCATCGCTCTTAATTGGACCAAGCTGCCCATAATGCGAAGCCAAGGCAAAAAGCACTCTGTACCACACAAGCTGCGACCAGTGAGTGGACAGCGCCTCATTCTCACATCAAGTGCTCAGCCCAAGGGAAACAAATCCAAACAGTAGAGTCGGATGCGTTGAGGCAGGAGAATGGATTTCCCAACATGGCCACCTGAGAACAGGCGCGGCCACTAATCTACGTGACCATGATATAGTCAAAATGAATTTCACTCGAATGGTGCACAAGTCTGAATCGCCACCAAGTGTCAGCGTCATTGCCCAGCTGCTGCCTCATCCAAAGCAGTGCTTTTTTGCGCAATTTCTGGGCTCTCCCTCACATTGCATCCGAGAGCTGCACTGCAGTAGCAGTCCGAGCGGACCAAGGTATTTCATATATAATGGTACCTCAGTTTTACTCACGAGTGGAATTCTCCTTGCATCTACCCGAAGGCAACTATTAACCCGATGCGTTGCCGAGAAGCAGTTCTGAGCATTAGAAGCTCAAACTGTGGCGATTTTGTATCTTGAGCACGCTGCCAAGCCTCCAGCATTCCTGGGTCAGAGCTCTTTGGCACCAATCACCAAAGCGCTATTTCAAGAAAACGCCGATGCCTTCTGATGCAGAAATGTGATTTGGATGACCTGCACGGCACGATGCCGGCTTCAAAAAAGCTTTGCTTGGGTGGGGGCAGCTTGCCTGACACACCTTGCCCATCAAAAGTCAGTACGACAGTAGCCTTCCGACGTGCCAGGAAGGTCAATGCCTAGAAAGGCGCCAACAAAGGTTCGGCAAACCAAACAGCATGTGGAAACAAACAAAAACAATTGTGAACAGCTCCCAGGGACAAGTGGACAATGTGTGCTCGCATGCATGCCACACGTGGCAATTTGTGAATTTCAGCGCACAACTTCCTGCTAGTACATTGTACTAGGCCATGTGGTCGGCTTGCATCGGCACTATCATGGAATGTTATATACTAGAATGTCCCGACTGCAACTGTGGCATGTCAGCCTTTGTTTATGATGTTTCTGACATGAATTTCAGCAGCCATTCCAAGCTAGCCCGGCATTGCTGGCAGCATCCTGTCTCCAGCGAAGTTGCATGAATTCGAGCTACGATACAGCCGTGCATCTTGAATGATTATAAAAGGATGCGTCGCTTGCAGGAACGCAGAAAAAATATAGAAATATGGTCCTGGCGGTGGTTCCATTGTTGCTGAAGTGTGTGATACAACAAGTCTCCTGTGCATCCTCGGCGTGGTGGACTACTTCTTGATTAATCATAATGGTTTGTCTTGGGCTCTGCAGGCTCTGACACCAGGATTCTTCCAATTCTTCAATTTTCTCACACATTCAGTCTACCTAGATCTCCATTCCGATTAACGTGCCTATGTCATGTCCAAGAGACAGACTCTGTAACCAGAGTGTTGCATTTCCTGTATGTGCAGCACGTGGACTCCTGCTGAACCTGCATCAACCTCATATGAGCGCGCACCCGGATGTCAAATTACGTCACCTGACCGATCAACACAGCATGCCGTACAACTCTCACGACCGCTGGAGGGAGAGAGAGAGAGAGTGAGAGATCCAAGCAGCAGTCAGTGCTAGTGACTGGTTCCAACCTTCGCAAAGCATCCAAGTAGATGCATCACAAAGAGTGGACTTCTGGGGAGAACAGAAACGGCCTGAAGCCACCGGGAAACCACCATGACGGCATCAAGCCCGCTAAAGAACCGTGGCCCACCGAACGCACAACTTGATTGAGACATCCCGACTACCTAATGACCGAATGACCCCTGGTACGCCTTGGCAGCAACGGCATCAGGCGACCATTTGTGCCAGCCATCCTTGATATGTTGGATCACGCACGGGCGTTTCACGTAGTACTTGCACACAAACAGTGCAAAGGGCTCGTCTTGGCAGACCTGGAGCTCGGGTACATCCAGAATCTCCAGTGCATCGCCGCTGACACCTTTGAGCGGAACGTCTGCCAAGCATTAATTATGCCTGCTGATGGCTGATGGTGTGACAAATCATGACAAATCAAAGTTGGCCCAAGCAACCAAGCTGTAGGCAAGATCTTTCCATCTCCTTGCGACGAATGCATGCGCCATGAGTACAGTTTCCAACTCCAACGCAATCGTGCACTCCAAAATGATGAAAGTATATACAAGTAAACTGCATCACCGAACATGAGTATAACCTCCGGACCGCTGTACCACTCTGTTGACAATAACTTGGGCTGAAGATCCTGCCGTCGAACATCACCCAGCCCGTCGAAGTTGCCCGTTGATAAGCAAAGCACGCTGATGTTCACACCTGAAGAACATGCAAAAATGCGAAAGCATTAATGACACATTCAAATACATTCAATACTTTAGTTTCCCTAAAAATCCAGGAGCCAAATCATTAGCGCAAGATAGCGCGAGCGCTTCTTCAAGGAAACGTGAGCTATCCTGCAACTACCTAGAATCAGCTTAGTTACCGGCCTAGCCGGCTTAGCCGACACCTCAATCCTTCGCCATGGGACCAGCAGCCCGAAGCTGCGAGAGGGTGGGCCAAAAGAACATGGCCTCAATGCCACACGGACTGATGGTAACGCAGCTCATCACTTCGCTTCAGCCAATTTGTGTCCAGCATGCATGTAAGCAAAGCATGTTTGTATGTATATATGTGCATGGATGGATGTACTGTAGGTATGTGTATATGTGTATGTATATATATGTATATACCTGAGAAGGGAGGGGACGAAAGCCAGCCTCTGGCTTAGGGGGTGCTCTCAGGGTAGACCCGGGCAAAGACTAGGCGTGCAAGAGGAAGTGATGGGTAACATCGGGCAAAGATTAATTTCATGGGGCGAAGTTGACATCGCAGCTACACTGGTCGGGGGTAGAAATGGAAAGGAGAAGACATAGGTCTCGGGGGGGGGTACCCTTTTTCGCCCCGGTCCAGGGGGATTTGGAAGTGAAAAAGGGCACCCCTCAGGAAGTGAGGCGCGCTTGCCGGCGGCGTGTTGCGAATCAGTGAGCAGAGACGCCGGTGGGGGTTCATGCGCGAGGCAATGGGTAGGGTAGGTGAGGAGATGTGCTACGGATAAAGAAGGGCACCCCTAAGCTATTCAGGACCTTCTGTCTCCAACGCGCTTGCCCCTTCTCTCTCCTGCCCCCAACAACCCCCCAATCCACGTGAACTCCCACCGCATAGGGGATGCCCTCTTTAGTGCGGCTCTCTCGCAAGCCCTAAACAAATGGCATCATGCACTGTCGGTAGCAGGGTAGCCTCAAGTAGAAAGTGGCTAGTCCTGGAACCTGTAGTGGCAACCTCAAGAGCCAACAATGTATGCAACCTGTAGCAACACAATGTAAGGATCACCTTGATCCGACAAGCAATGCAACGCGAGCACCGCAAAGTTTCAACGCACCGTAGCGGTTCAAGCCGTCATGGCTTGGTCAAAGACGAAGGCAAAAGGGTCCCCTAAGGTTCGGGCCGTGAAGCAACAGTGGAGGTCAAAGAAGGTTCAAACGGCTGAGGTGACTCAAGCTCAGAAATCGACACGCCCCTAAAGTCTTGACTGGAACGTTGCTTCATGGCCGCTTTCACCTTCTTGGCGCTAGTGAACGTTGGATCGAACACTAGAGTCCAAGCGCCATCATTCAGGACCCGGTGGAGTGTGCTGACTGGCAGGGGTTTCGTCATGTGGTCGGCAAGTTGGGCATCACTGTGTACCCACCTCGCCTTGGTTCCTAGGTCCTAGCTTTGCCAAGGATTCCAAAAGGCAAAGCACTTCCAGCGCGGAGTACTTATCGCGCAACCCTGCAGCAGCCGAATTTAGGTCACTCTTCAACAAAATGTCATAGAGTGCCTTTGCGTCAGTGACCACCGTACCCGGCACTCGTGAGATTGTCTTCTCACTGTGTCTCAAATCAACTTCAAACCCGCAAAATTCAGCCCAGGCTAAACGGACAAAAAGGAGTTCTTGGTCAGCCTCGCTCATGGCTTGCGTTTCAGCGGCCAATGAGCTTCGAGCTTTTCTTGCCAAGCGGCTGGAGCGCCAAGCAACCAAGGTCAGTGGAGCTCGTTCCCCGCGGAGCATCTTCTCAGAAGTCGCTGCTATCAGGAATCCACCAGTCGAGCTGAGGTCGATGCGGTTGGCGAGAGCTGCGTCGCTCCATGCCACAAAGTGAACATCACGAGGGTCTTCCACATGAATCTGGTTAATCCGGGCTGACAAGTAGCGGTGTTGGAAGTTCTCTCTGATGAGCTTGTTCGTGGCCTTGATGGTATCGATGTTGGCCTTGGTGATGGAACTCTGGAGTTGTCCAAGTCTTGCCATCAGATGAGGGCCTGTTTGTTGTGCCCTCCACTGCAATGCTCCTAGGGCGCCACGCAGTTGGGACATTTCATCAGGCGTCAAGGGATCATGCTCGGTCTTGGTGGTGTAGTTGATCTGCTCAATGGACTCGCTGTAGGCCGAGTGATCAACAGTGAAGCTGAAA